ACCAAAGAGGATTTTAAACGGGGATTTGTGTTGAAGAATGGATGTGGGAAGACGGTTGATTAGGTAAACCGTCGTTGGGAAGTCAAAAGTCCAAAGATCTAATGGAATGGATGCTCTAGAGAGGAGGGTGAGACCAATTTCGACAATATGACGGTGTTTACGCTCCGAGACACCATTGTGTTCCGGAGTATGAGGAGGAGAGGTATGATGTGAAATACCTAGGTTGAGAGAAAGTCTCTAAGGCTGAGGTATTCACCACCGTTGTCCGAGAATAAGGTGACAATTTTTGTGTGAAACCGGTTCTCGACTAGAGTTTTGAAGCGAAGATGGTGGAGACTTGTGATTTTTGACGTATGGGGTAGAACCACGTGTACCTAGTGAAATGATCCACGAAGATAACATATTACTTAAACCCGTCAAATGATGTGACAGGTGATGTCCAAACATCCGAATAAAGTAGCTCAAGAGGACGAGATGAAGAAACCGAAGAAGAGGCAAAAGGAAGTTTGTGACTTTTATTAATAAGACAAGTTCACAATGAGAGGAACAACTTGAAGAATTAGATAGTGGAAGGGAAAAATGAAAAACAGTTGAATTTAGAATTTCCCGTGAGGGATGACCTAATCTAGAGTGCCACTCGGAAATGGATGTCTTGACACTTGAGAGGACAAGAGACGAGGGCTTATTTGAACATGAAGAAAGAGGTGGGACAACCAGCCATTCGTACACACCGTTATTAAGTTGTCCGGTTACTAGTATTGTCCCCCTGGTGAGATCCTTCACCTGAAAGAAACGAGAGAAAAATTCCACAGATACTCGGTTAGATTGACATAACTTATGTATAGAAATCAAATTTTTGTGCATGGAGGGAACGAATAGAATATTATGAAGGTTAAGTAGGCGAGAGAATGAGGGTAGAGAGGAGGAACCGGTGTTTGTGATGGCAAGACCCAAGCCATTGCCAATGATGACTTCATCACCACCATGATAAGGAGCTGAAGAGACATATTGGCCAAGTCGGATGTCATATGGTGTGAGGCCCCGGAATCCATCAGCCATGATGAAGCCGACGAGGGAGAGACAGCAGTTGCGTGAACCGTAGGTTGCCGGGCAGAGTTTCCTTGAGTCGGGTTGTGCGGCTGTGACGAACGTGAGAAGGAAGACAATAGCATGTTGCATATGCGAGCGTTGTGGCCTTGTATGTCGCATAGTTGGCATTTGCCAAGATGCGGATGGTGTTGGGATTCCTGGGACCTCTACAACGAATCTAATTCCTAAGAGATCGGTTCTAGGGTTTGTGCAGCGGATGTAAAACAAAATTTTTGTATAAAACCCTAAAACCAAGTATGCATGATTTCGTAGAAATGTTAGAACGCTTACCTCAATCGATCCGGGGCCTGTATCAATTGGTGTATTCGTCTGATCACAAAGGCATGAAGATTACCTCGCCCTCTACATCCATACGATGGAAAGGATTCCAACGGATTGAAACTTGTCTGTTAGGACTGAAGAACTCATTGTCCAATGCGCAAGGGTTTCAGGGATCTTTCTCTTCGTTTTTCGATCTCAAAAACCTCTGAAAATGCTTAAGAGTTCGTTCAACAAAGTTTAGGAGATGTTCCCCAAGATTTTGTTAACCCAAAACCCTAATTAGAGTGAGATAAGTAATTCCCGACGCCTGGTCCGATCGGTCTGGACCTTTTTCCGGACCGAACAACTCTTGCTCGCCACCTCTAGACCGACCGGTCCACGCATCTGGACCGATCGGTCTAGGTAGGCTAGACTGATCGGTCCAGACTTCTAGACCGGTCGGTCTGACCTCCGTTCCACCGGGAATTTCTCATCTTTTTCTCACGCATTTGTCCCTGTGACCCTGTAGACTCATCCGATATAGCAGTATAATCTGAAATCTCTATTTCGGGTATATAAGTCATAGGCGGTCTCTAGAAAGACACTATGACTACCTATCTCGAATAGAGTTTGTTCGTGATCATACGAACATTAGTAATAATTCTGGTTGGTGATCCTTTTGTATCACGATATCATATGTTGAACATAAGGCATGGAGAAGCCACCTTATCTGATTCGACTGCTTTCTCGTTCACTGAGTTCGACTGTGCGAAATAGACGACGCTCGTCTATAGTGTGGCCACACATTTCTACAGTCTCGCTCACACGAGGGGCCCAATGATATATCTCTCTTTTACGAGAGGTACAAATTCCATCTTGACTATCTACAATCCAACACATGATTCGTGTCGTACCCGATACACGCCTTTATAGTCCTCCTGTTACGCAGGACGTTTGACGTATTCAAAGTACGCAACTCCTCATGTTGGATTCCGTAGATATCTCAGGTCATATGATCCAATCATGGAACCATCACATGAGATTCATGACGCTAGTCCATGTGACAATCTCATGCGGGTCAATCCAGTATTCCGTTCTCCAACAAATACCTATGATTGTGATCATATCCAATACCCATGATCATCTTTATGACCATCTATCACACATCATACTAGTCTTTCATTGTTCCCACAACGATATATGACTAGGGAGTTTAGTATTATTCATAACAATACATGGATTTCATAACATATTATAGTATGCAAAACATGTAATGAATCAAACACTCTACCATATAACCATAGTAAGTGTCAATACATCAAATGTATCATGATAAAGCTCATATAACAGTACATCATAGAGCACTAAACTAACAGACGCGAGGGTGGACGAGAGACTTGATCCCGAGGCTGGTCCCGAGACTAGTTCCGGGGCGAAAAGGACTGCCCGCTCGGTAAGCGGTCTTGCAGAAAGCGGTGAGAGGAGCGAGGGTCGTGGTTCGCAACATGTGCCGTGATCGGAATTTCCGAAAGTGGGGCGGCAGTAAGGTCGACGTCATGAGTAAGAATCTTCTCTTGTAGTTCCACGAAGAAGATGGTGTTGTCCCGAGCATTAACGACATCTTTGATCGGTTTGTACTCGTCACCAAGTCCCCCGAGAATGAGATCGATGAGACCTTCGGGGATCTAGGGGCTTTCCAAAGAGAGCAAGTTCGTCGGCCTTCATCTTGAAGGTACTCATTGACGGATTTGGATCCCTTGGTAAATCGACGGATCTGCTCTTTGAGTTGCTTAATGTGACCACGGCTTGAACGCCCATATGTTTAGGTGAGTGTGGTCCACGCAGAGGCTGTCGATTTCGTCGTGGCAACAAGAGCTTGGCATGCGTGGAGATGGTGCCGAGAAGCACCGAAAAGACGAGTCGATCTTGACGAACCACAGAGGATATGCCAAATTTGGGATGATGGCGTTGTCGGCAATGAAGGTGGGCGGCGGTGCATTATCGGAATCAAGGAAGGCGTCCAAGTTATAGCCTTGGAATAGGGCTCGAACGAAGTTGAATGCTCCGCGTGAGATAATTGGATGTCGTGAGCTTCGACACATTGGTCACATTGACGTTGATTAGATTGGATATGGTGACATCAGACCATGAACGACGGGAACATTGGCTCGAGGGGCGGTGGTGTTGTTCGCTGGAGCATCGGTGGGAGCATCTGTGGGTGTGTTGAGAGAGATCATACTGACGACTTGAACGGCGACGGCGACGGCGACAGCAATAAGGCGGCCGCAGCAATAACAGTAGTGGCCAAAAAAGATATTAGAATCCTTTGACGTTGGGTTCTGATACCATAATACACTTTAGGATTTTGATAAAATCTTTGTTATTCTCTTTTCATTAAATTTAAAAAAGATATATATATATATATAGCTAAAGCTAACACAAAGATATGAAAGATTACAAATCAATTTGAATTCAAAATCGTTGAATTTAATTCAAGCATACTCCTATATTTATCGCTATCAATCGACACCTCAGTCCGAAAGGATAGTATTGTCATTTTTCGATGTCTCTACTAAAAAAAAGAACAATCCGAAGGGTTTGAGGCTTGTCACGTGATATTTTGATGTGTAAACGTCAACGATGATTTTATTTCTTGATATGTTCAACATTCTGTAGAGTTAAATATGCTGTGAACACGATGAATCACGTGAAATCAATGAACAATTATAAAAATGAAGGGATAGACTAACTCACGTGAAGAAGGTTCCATTGCATTGCATGGATGGGTACTTATTTAAATGTTACTAAAAAAACTGCAAATAAGTGTTTATTTTGTGGGGTGTGTGGTTTTATATACACACACATTTTATGCAACAAGGGGGATATATAAAAAGCCGCATAAAATAGAAATATTGGACTGTTTTGGTTTAATAAGAAAATTTCGATAATAATACTCAAATTTATCTAAATGTATTATATAAATACATTAATTTTCAGATTTGTATATAAATACCTCAATTTAATCAATTTGTATTAACTTTAATTTGTGCCAAATATATATATCTCAAATTGGTATTTATTTGACACATATTGACCAAATTGAAATATTGATATATTTATGTGATATATTTAAATAAATTGAGATATTTTTATGGAATTTTATCCATTTAAAAAAATATAATTATTCACTATTTTATATTAAATTTTGGGTATGCTTTAGGTTTTTTCCAATTCTATTTTTATTGAGATTAATATTCATTTATATTTTAAAAAAAATCAGTTATTTCTGAGTTCTTTTTTATTATTTTGAGTTGATTTTATTTTTATTTGAAAAAATTATGGCCAACTATTTTTACATTCCATTCAATTATATACATATATGAATTAATGCATACATATATAAACGAAAATGTTCACCCTAATTTTGGGTATCTTTTACATTTATATGTCTAGGTTAGATTCATACTCTATAGATATGCCAAAAAAAAAAATAGCACAATATTTTAGAATATTATATGAGCATATGCATATTATGAGTTGGGTTATAAAAAATCAAATGGGCATAACATTAACATGCGGGGAATTATTGTATTAGGTAAATGCAACCGGACAATTAAAGAAAATGGAATTTAAAGAATTATAAAAAGAAATTCGACAGATATTTCCAATTTTCTCTTTTCATAAATATTTTCAATCACAAACACACGGCGACGTATGGCCCTTTTGACGTTTACCAACACAGCTTATTACACTGTACAATTGCTTCAAATCATATTACGATTAACCATAATTAAACAGATGGTTAAGGAAAAGGCCCTTTGTGCCAAATCCTTAATTACACCATCTTAATCCAAATTTAAAACCTTAATCTCTCATTTACACCCTCCAGGTGCAAACCCCACCCTGCCGCCCCTACCGTCGTAAACCACTTCCAGCGTTTGCTGCTGCACGTTTCCGAAGATCGCAACGCTACTGTCGTCACTGTTCGACGCAAACCCCAAACACACCTGCGATATCTTAAGCGCGTACAAAATCCCGGTTGCGTCCAGCTCCACATCCACTCCTCCACTGAACAGAAACCCTACTTTCGGAATCGCAACCGTCCTGTAGCCTGTCAGATCGTAGCACGTGTCGAGGATCGAAACCGCCGGAGCCGTCGGGTACCTCGACATACTCGCCTGAAACGCGGATTTCAGCGCGGAGTAGGCCTTTGGAGGGAGACGGGTGATAACGGTGCCGGAATCGATCAGAGCTCCGGCGGAGGAGAATACGGTAGACGGAATCGTCAATTTCTGGCCGGCGACGGAGATCCCGACGATGTCGAGGCCGTAGAAGGAGGTACCGTCGGTGACAGAGGATAACGGCGTGAACTTGACGGATCTGGAGAGACCGGCGGATCCGAAGGTGAGATGACCGGTGGTGGCAGCGGAGGAAGGGAGGCAGTAGGAGAAGACCTTGTTGTAGCGCGACGCCGTCTGAGAAGGGAAGGAGAGCTGGTCGCGACCGAGGCCGAGGAGTCCGGCGACGCCATTGAAGAGACCCTGGTTGTTCTCGCCGCAGCCGAAGTAGAAACCGTCGAAGATATCGGAGCTCGTTAGGGTTAGCTTCTCTCTGGCGAGGAATCCGACGGAGAAGGATTGGTCGCCGTATTGGATCCCGTAGACGCACGTCGAAGACGAACAGCTTCCCGAATTCCCTGAAAGATTTCACAATAAAAAATGTAGAAACACATAACCGGAAATTAACCACGAAAACCGGGCTGAACCCAACTCAACAACCGGTGTGATGATTTCGGTAACCGAACCAAATCAAATTCCATATAAAATTTTAAAGATGTAATTTTACTGAAATTGAAATAACGGAATTAGAATCTAACCCGAATCAAATATAAAAAAACTGAAAATTCCTTTAAAAATGGATATTTTATAAATAGAAACCATAATCGAACAAAAATTAAATCAAAACAAATCCGATATAAGATTCAGATAGTTATAGTAAAACCGAAAAGTTCAAATCAGAACATAATCAAACAAATCTGAACATTAACCGAAAATAACCATCCTGATAACCGGAACCAGGAAACCGAACATAGAAATCGAACCGGAAACCCAAGAGTGTAGAAACTAACCGGTGGCAGAAGAGAGAGCACCACAAACGGCGGAAGAACAGGAGACGTTATAGTAGGAAGAAGACGAAGAAGGGTTAAAAATGGGTTCCTTCTGAGAATAACAAGTCCTGACGCAGGGCTCACACTGCGTCCACGTCAGATCACTGCCTGTATCGAAGATCAGAGACAGGTCCTTCTTCGGTGTCCCAATTCCGACAGTCACTATGTAGTTCCCGGAACCGATGGTACTTCCGTCCTTCGCCGGCAAATCCGCCGACTTTCGTTGTCGGACCCTGTCGGCGTTTCTGGTCGCGGTCTTCGTCGTCTTCGATAGCTTTGCGTGGAACGAGTCCACACGCGCCTGGTCGCGTTTCAGAATCTCAACGCGGTCTGGAATCGCGTTTTTGCCGCTACTGAGATGCGAGCACGTGCCGTGCGCGTGCATCACGTGCAGCGATGACTTGGTTTTGGATGCTGAAATTGTAATTGGAGATGCAAGGTATTAAGGGTTTTTCCAGATGTAAAGAATAAAATTACTGTTTTTATGGTTATTATTTATTTAAATATCATTCAGGTTCAACCACTAGATATAAAATATTGCATAAGTTAAAATAAAAATTATTACAACTAAAATATAAATATGCATGCAACTGGAAATTCATATGTGGTTCAATATGTTAATAATTAGCCCGACAAACATATATATATATATGTATGTATACATGTCAACAAAAGATAAAAGAAATGTTGTAAGTATATATATATATATACACACACATGTACAGTCTCTCACCTTTGGGAGAAAGAACACAAGGAGATGAAGAAGACAAGAGAGAGCTGACTTCAATAGTATGGAAATCAGCCTCGTATCTCTTGCTTTCTTCATGAACCGCGTTTCCCAAAACGCATACACTAAGCAAAATTGTACTCACGAAAATTTTTGTTATGCCCATTTTGCCCCTCTTCTCTCTCTCTCTCTCTCTCTCTCTCTGTGTGTGAGAGAAAATTGGGTGCTCATGAACATGGCAATGGTTGGTCCTTTATAAGCAATTTTCCAAAGAGAGTCTCCAATTGTGGTTGTCGAGCTTTACAAGCCATCCCATATACGAGAGAGTGGGGGCATATGTTCCATTGGAGTGGAAAACCAATGCAATATGGACACGTCAGCAATGCAAAGGGGTAATATTGTCTTTTCGTGTTTTGTCTTGGCCCATGAAGGTTTTTTTACATTGGTTGTCAATACCATTAAGGTTCCTTTGTTTTCTTTTTTTTTTTCCCGGTGTGTCCCTAATCTTTCTACTAAATGATTGATTGATTGAGAAGTAAACCAATTATGTGTCAAAATGGCCTTCGTTATGTGATACCTTCTTTGGTCAAAAAAATGAATCCCCATTTGATGATGATGATGATGATGATGATGATGGTGATGATGATCTCATGGATCATGTAGAAAGAGCCTCAATTATATCTAACGCTACATCCAAAAAGGAAGAGAAAATAAAAAAGAGATGTGATGGAAAATCACCAAACGCCACACAAAAATAATTGAGGAGTCCACCCAAACTCCATTTGTGAAAACTTGTAATTTTATAATTGCAAGCAAAGTGACGATTAACCAAAATAAAACTATAATATTACAAGATAAGCAACCCATTTCTATCCACACCCACATTTCATCTCTCTCGAAATTGCTTGTATATACATACATATATGTGTAAGTGCGAATCACACATAATATTAATATTAATACTATTATTATATAGATAAATGTATATGAAACATTTTAGGTGGATCCTGTTGAATTGATTGAGATAACAAAATCTTATGAACTACCGTTATTAAATAACTGTAATGTTAAATATAGTGATTTCTTGTCTCATCTGTTTTAGATTTGACCATTACAACTCAAAATACTAATTTGCATTAATGTTTTACCTAAACGTCGTAATTCATATTTCTTTAACGTCACAATCAATTCCGTAGATGTAATATTTACGTTATTCATATTAAAGAAAGATAATGTTGAATGAAATCGGGTGGTCCTAACGAAAACATGCGAATGTTATAATAATATGTTCATTAGAAAAATGATTAATTTTAGGAAATTTTGATTAGTGAGAAGTGGGAACGGACGAAAAAGAATCTTGTAATATGGTGGAAGAAAGCTGGAATCTGTCTGTCCCATTCTAAAACCTCTAGAAAGTGACACATGGCCTACTACTCTCCTTATCTTATTCTCATTTTTATTGAATTATATATTGATTTTTCAACGTAAATATATATAAATATATATTCTTCATTCTGTTACAAACTTTATATTTGTATAAAAAAAATATCGTTCCGATTTTAAAAAAAGGTAACAGATCAAATTAATATATAGATCCACACCATTGTGAATACTTTAACAAAAAAAGAAGGAAAAATAAAATACTCACACACAAATATGAATACAATGTCAGAAAATAAAATTTATCCATGCAAGGAATAAAATGAATGGTGATAACCTTACTTTCCATCTATATGGCACAAATCACGGGTTGATAATACTCACAAATATGTAAATGAATGATATATAATACTCACACACACACACACATATATATATATATATATATATTCATTCCGTTTGAAAAAAATATTCATCGCGTGTAAAGAAATGTGTTCTTATTTATAAAATATTTATTTTTAAAAATATACAATTTTTTATTTTTTTAATTATTTTATATTAATTAAATTTGATTTTAAAAATTCATTTTAGATAGAAAAAAATATTTTAGATACAATTGTTGTAATGTTTAGAGTAAATGAATGAAAATTTAGAATCCCCAAAGAATTTATATTTTTATGTGTATTACGAGTATGGTGGAAAAATAAAATGGTTAGAAAAGATGTTGTCATGAATCGGTTAAATGTTAAGAATTCGTCGAAAAGGGTTACGTTCCGTATAGAACGTGATCTCAGAAAAATCGGGCTGTAGTTCGAATAAACGAGCGGGTAACCTATTTTCTGAGAAATAAAGGTTGGATTTGACAATCGGGCTGTAGTTCGAATAAACGAACGGGTAGTCCCTTTTTTTGAGTAATAATGTTTGGATTTCATAATCAGACTGTAACTCATAAAAACGGATGGATAGCCCGCTTTTTTCTGAACAATTAAAAAATAAGCGAAAAATCACAACTGTACACAGATAACTTTCGATTTTTTCATACCTTTCGACATTTGGAGTGTTTATAAACACTACTGAATATCCTAACACGTAATATATATAACACATCTCAATTATTTTTTGAGAGATTTGAGAGCATTTTTGTGTTTGTTCTCGCAAAACACTCACAAAAGCCTTTCATTCATTTTCTTCTTGCAAATTATTGTGTTTGTGTTCTTAGTATAGCAGACAAAGATCACTTCTGTCTTCATTGTATCTCAAAAGCATATTCCGAAAAATCGTTTATTTGTATAGGACGAAATAACGTTTTTCAAAAAATATATGCACGTCTTGAAGAGTTATCTGGTTTCCGATTTATTTTTATGTTCTTTTTGTATTCCCAATTTCTAACAAAAATTATATATATATTAGACTTGATTTAATTCAACTTTGTATGTTGAAATCCAAATATATATATAATTTAGGAAAAAAAGATTATGAGATAAAAACGAGGTTGATGTTGGACCATTTTATTCCATTTTTCATTTCGTTTTTCCACGATCTAGAGGTATTACTATGTATACAGAACGCTCGAGGCCAAACAAAACTTCGTTCAAGACAAAATTGCAAAAATAGAGTTTGTTTTTTTTTGTTGTAATAAATGTTTTGGGATTTATTCAAAAGGACAAAGAATGGAAAGGAAATAACTTAATGGCGTAAATCGAAATCATTTTATAAACGGACTTTGGCTGTCGAATGATTATTCTTTGTAACTGAATTTCACTTCATTGTTCCTATAGTGAGTAGTGACGTAATATCATGGACTTTTTTCTTCTTTTATTGATATGCCACTATGAAATATAAAATTAATATGATTTCCACTTATAAGATAGTGGAAGAGGAAAAAAGGTTTGGTCCATATATATATATGGTGGAACAAACAAAATCCATGAAGATAAATGATGTTATTATTGTCAATATTAATTTCTATTTATATTTATCATCTCCGCGATATATTGTTAGTCTTCATATACCTATTAGGATGGGCCAATTCAAATTTGATTATTTCAAAATTTAATATATATATATATATTCGATTTTACTCGGATTTAGACTTGAATTTCAATTTTCATTGAAAAATACTTTTTTATTATATATTCATTTTATTGATTATTTTTATATTTAATTTAAATTTCATTAATTTTAGATAAATCTGATTCAAAACAAATATTTGTAATCAATTTGATCAAATTCGATGAAAATATAATTCTATTTTATATTATCCAAACTAAAATGATCACTCTTAATATTTTGTGCTTATTCGCTCGTATGTTGAAAGGGAATTGTACCCTTTTCTTTTTTATGAGCGTGATGTACAGTGTGGTTTGATTTATAATATTTTCTTTCGGTTTTTTTCCTACAAAATAGTTCTATGTTTTTTTTTTATACATTGGTAACCCCGGCTGCTATCCTTTGGTGCGTTAACCGAGTAAACTCAAGCCCACACGCACGAGCCTGCAACACACACATGGGATGTAAATCAGTCGTAACTGACAGGCGATAGGTGAACGGGTAAGGAGTCGAACCCTCAACCTTTCGATATGTTGACCATGCTCCTTGCCAACTCACCAAAGGATACAATACACGTGTGGGAGGTAAAATAGTTCTATATTACTTACTTATATACCATTAAGGGGCCGACTGGTTGCACCGCCGTCACCCGCAAATGGAGCGGTTGCGATTTCTGGCGGTTGCGGACGATTGAAAAACTGACTGGTTGAACCGCAACCAACCGCAATTATCCTTCCGGCAAGAAAGGATGGCGTTTGTACGATCTCGACAATCGTCGTTTTGTGATCTCCCGTGATGTACACTTTTGTGAAGATCAATACCCCCTCTTGGATGCCACAGTTGTTTCCCCTGTGCCGGATGTCGGGCTCGTTCCCGGTACGTCTCCCTTTCCGTCCGACGATGATGATCTCCTATCGGCTTCCTTTCGACCCGTTGACCCAGTATCGTCGCCTGTTTCCGCCCCTTTAGATGCGATGCTATCTAGTGGTGCTGATGCCGACGCGTCTGTTGAGGCGTCCAACGACAGGGGGGGCTTGTCACTTGATTCATCGGCCGATGCTTCTAGGTCTCTGCCAGCCGCCGAACTTGGGAAAGGCAAACGGCTCAAGTTTCCGTCTACTCGACTTCGGGACCATGTCACTAATACAGTCCGTGTCTTGAGCAGTGAGTCCTCCCCTCAGCCCATGGTCGTCACACCGGGCAGCCCGTATCCCATCTCACAGGTGGTGGGTTGTACTAATTTTTCGGCATCACATCGTGCATTCCTGACATCCATTTCAGCTGATACAGAACCTCGTTCGTATAAGGATGCTATTTGCGATCCTCGATGGCTGGAGGCAATGCAATCTGAGATCGACGCCTTGGAGAAGAATAAGACATGGTCTGTTACGTCTCTTCCTCCAGGGAAGAAAGCCATTGGTTGTCAATGGATCTTCAAAATCAAATATCGTTCCGATGGTTCGGTTGAACGGTACAAGGCTCGGCTAGTCGTCCTCGGTAATCGACAAGTGGATAAGTTGGACTACGGTGAAACGTTCGCCCCGGTGGCTAAGATGGTCACCGTACGTATTTTTCTAGCGGTGGCAGCGACTCGTGGATGGGAAATTCATCAAATGGACGTTCATAACGCTTTCTTACACGGTGATCTCCGGGAAGAAGTCTACATGCGATTTCCTCCGGGTTTCGACAAACATGACCCTAATACGGTATGTCGACTTCGTAAATCCTTGTACGGTCTTCGCCAAGCTCCACGTTGTTGGTTCGACAAGCTCCGCTCTTCTCTTGAACGGTATGGCTTTCTTCAATCGCAGTCGGATCATTCTCTCTTCACTTTTCGTAATGGGAATGTCCAACTGTGTGTTCTTGTGTATGTGGACGATTTGATTATCTCCGGAAACTCTACCGTGGCTTTACATGCTTTCAAAAAGTATTTGAGCTCGTGCTTTCGTATGAAGGACCTTGGTCATTTGAAGTATTTTCTTGGCTTAGAGGTGGCTCGCAACAAGACTGGCATTCATGTTTGTCAACGGAAGTATGCTCTAGACATCCTTTCCGAGGCTGGATTGCTTGGCTGCAAACCGACATTTTTTCCTCTAGAGCAGAATCACCGGCTCTCATTGTCTCAAAGCCCCTTGTTGGACGACCCCGGTCGTTATCGCCGTCTTGTTGGCCGTCTTATCTACCTCACCGTCACTCGACCCGAACTCTCCTACAGCGTACACATTCTGTCCCAATTCATGCAACAACCGCGCATCGATCATTGGAACGCAGCTCTTCACGTGGTTCGCTTCTTAAAACATGATCCGGGTCAAGGCATTGTTTTTCGAGCATACTCCGATCTGCAGTTACGAGCATGGTGCGATGCCGATTATGCAGCTTGTCCCATTACACGAAAGTCACTCAGCGGGTGGTTTATTTAGTTAGGTCTTTCGCCGATCTCATGGAAGACCAAGAAGCAAACAATCCCGGCGCTGTCTTCTGCTGAGTCCGAGTATCGAGCGATGCGGCTCACGACTTGTGAACTTGTTTGGATCAAGAGTCTTCTCTCGTGTCTCGGCGTGGATCACTCAGCTCCAATGCGAATCTTTTGTGACAGTCAAGCGGCATTGCACATTGCGTCTAATGATGTGTATCACGAACGAACCAAACACATCGAAGTCGATTGTCACTATCTCCGGCATCATTTGGATCACGGCAACATTGCTACGCAACATGTTTCTACTCACGAACAGTTGGTGTTGGTATTTTTAGAGTAAATGAATGGGGTTTAATATTAATTTCTCAAGAGATTCATAGTTATATGTATTACGGCAGAAGAGCTGCAAATCAGGGAATATAACAGAAAAATAAATCTCGTAGGATATACGTTGATACTCCCCCTCAAGATGGCGAATACAAATCGTGTATTCCCATCTTGGACAACAACAATCGAAACTGTTCAGCCGGTAATGGTTTGGTGAGGGCATCCGCAACTTGATTCCGGGAAGAGACGTGTAGGGGTTTAAGGAAGCCAGATTTAAGCTGATCACGTACAAAATGACAATCCAATTCAATGTGCTTCGTTCTTTCGTGATAGACCAGGTTATTAGCAATATGAATTGCCGATTGGCTATCACAATACAAAGTAATCGGACGAGGACAGGTAATGTGCAGATCACGCAGTAAACTATCAAGCCAAACAAGCTCGCAAGTCGTCTGTGCCATAGCGCGGTATTCCGATTCAGCACTACTAAAAGAAACGATCTGTTGTTTCTTAGACTTCCAAAAGATAAGAGAAGAGCCTAAAAAAATACAGAAACCTGTAACCGAACGACGAGAATCTGGACACACAGCCCAATCTGCGTCAGTATAGCCGCTCAAACGAAGGTCGGAAATTGCAGAATATAGAATGCCCTGCGATGGGGCAAACTTTAAATAGCGAAGAACACGATGAGCGGCTTGAAGATGCGATGTTCGAGGAGAAGCCATGTATTGGCTCAGTTTCTGAACCACAAATCCAATGTCTGGACGCGTAAGAGAAAGATATATAAGCTTCCCAACTAGTCGGCGATAGTGACTAGGATCATCAAGCAAGTCACCAGAATCTGCTGCAAGTTTCTCTCGGATGTCCATAGGGGTAGAAGCAGGTTTGCAACCCAAAAAACCGAAATCATCTAAGAGTTCCAACGTATATTTGCGTTGGCAAACGTGAATACCCTGTTTAGAGCGTGCAACCTCCAAACCCAGGAAGAAACGAAGTTCGTCGAGATCCTTAAGCTGAAAACTACTGCTCAGAATCGCCTTCGTATCAGAGAGCATCGAAAAGGAATCCCCTGTGAGAAGCAAATCGTCGACATAGACGAGCACTGCAACAAATCCCTGATCAGACATCTTAGTAAACAAGGAGTTATCAGCATGAGATTGGGTGAAGCCCGCATCAAGTAAAACACGAGATAACTTCAAGTTCCATTGACGTGAGGCCTGCTTCAAGCCATACAGAGATTTCTGAAGCCGACAGACAGAACCAGACGGAATTTGCTCCCCCTTAAGCGCAACATATCCAGGAGGAAGAGTCATGAAGATTTCTTCGCTAAGATCTCCATTCAAGAACGCGTTAGACACGTCCATCTGATGGAGAAGCCAGTTCTGAGGCTGCTAACGCCAAAATCACTCGGACAGTCGTGAGTTTGGCGACAGGGCTGAACGTCTCTAGATAATCGATGCCCTCCAGTTGTGTATAACCTTTAGCGACCAACCGGGCTTTGTATCGTTCAACTGTGCCATCAGGATTATGCTTGATCTTGAAAACCCACTTGCAATCGACTGGCTTTTTGCCGACGGGAAGAGAACAGAGCTGCCAAGTTTGTTGACAGATTAAAGCATCCAACTCAAGAATCATTGCTTCCTTCCATTTCTCAGAACGAAGAGCTTGGGTAAAGGTGCGAGGTTCAGATTCCGTAGAGATAGACAAGGCAAAATTACGGTAGGTGGGAGAAAGTCTGGAATAATCCAGAAAATAAGAAATTGGATAAGGAGTGATGGAAGTTTCTGGTGGAGGTGTATTGTGAGTTAAAAAATAACAGTGGTAGTGGGATAAATATCCTGGTGGCTTGGTCAATCTGTGCGACTTTCTGACATTCTCCGATGACACGTCAACAGGAAGTGAAGACTTTGGAACAGAGGAGAGAACATGATCTACATCAGGGAAGGTATCATCGGAAGCGAATTCTGATGTAGAAGGTAATTGAGAGATAGTGGGAGACTGATCAGACTCAAAAAGAGCGTATGATGAATGGGGACTAGTGGGAAAAAAATTGAAAGTATGGGAGGAAACCGCCTTCGAACGAAAAGGGAAAATTGTTTCGTGAAAGACGATATCCCGGGAAACGGAGATAGAGTTGGTGTTAAGATCCAACACTTTATAACCCTTGACACCCGAAGGATAACCAAGGAGAACATGAGGTGTAGCACGGGGAGAAAATTTGTGTCGGTCTTTAATAGGAGTTGAGACGTAACAAAGACACTCGAAGACACGTAAATGATTGTATTGAGGTTTAGTTTGAGTAAGGGTTTCAAGTGGAGATCGATTATTAAGAAGCGGTGTAGGAACACAGTTAATTAAATAAACCGCGGTTTGAACACAATCAGACCAATATAATAAGGGTATATTTGATTGGAAGAGAAGAGACCGAGCGACGTTGAGAATATGTTGATGTTTGCGTTCCACAACTGAGTTTTGTTGCGGAGTGTACGGACAAGAACGAAAATGAGTGATGCCTCGATCGACAAGAAGAGAACCAAAGGATAATTCCGGAGCATTATCCGAGCGAATAGCTTTTACTTTGAAACCATACTGAGTATCAACATGAGACAAGAACTGTTGAAACTTAACAAGGACGTCACTCTTATTCTTTAACAAGTAGATCCATGTAACTCTCGTACAATCATCCACAAGTGTTAAGAAATAACGATGACCATCGACGGAAGAAATATGAAAAGGTCTCCATGTATCTAAATGAACCAAAGCAAAAGGAACAGAAAAAATATTTCCAAGAGAAGGAAAAGATAATTTGCGTTGCTTTGCCATTGGACAAATCGAACAATGAGAAAGCGACGACTTATTGTGCGTGAACTGAAGTTGAGAAGAATGACCGAGGGCTTGGACTCTAAGAAACGAAGGATGACCAAGACGTTGGTGCCATAAATCAATGGAAGCAGTGGTAACAGCCGTGCAAATGGAAGAAGGAATAGTGGAAGAAGGCACATAAGTGTTCTGCATCTCCAGAATATAAAGATTGTTGCACAGGTTACCCCTCCCAATCGTCAGGTCCCGAGAAGGATCCTGAATCAAATAAGAATCACAAGAAAAAGAGACAACATATCGAGTGGAAAGAGTTAGAGCAGAGACAAACGGATAACATGAACAAAAAGAACAGAATGCAGAACCAAGGAGGAAGAAAGGTGAACGGTTCCAGATTGAGTAACCGAAATTGTTGAATCATTTGGAAGGGTTACAATGACAGGAGAAATGGAGTGAACATCGGAGAATAGCATCAAGTCGCAGCAAATATGGCTGGTAGCGCCAGTGTCCAAGATCCAGAAGGCTGAAGGGAACTGTAGGCCAGGTCGCAAAACGGAAAGTGCAGAAAAAGTAGAAAAGGGTGTACCTGAAGAAGAAGGTTGAGATGGTGAAGCAACAGCGCCTGAGGAAATGGAAGTGGTGCTCAGATTATGAAGTTGAGTCTGAAATCTGTCAAACAGAGCCTGCGCCTGATCCATAGTGGACTGATTAGATAGAACTGTAGCATCTGAACCAACCAGATTAACCATGTGCTGTGGCTTCGGAACAGAGTCATATGAAGGAGATGGCAACAGAGGAGGTTTGTTTGCCCAAATTGAACCAGATGAAACGGGTTTCCTAGAACTCGGAGGATACCCATGGATCTTGTAACAACGATCTACTGTATGCCCATGAAGACCACAATGGCTGCACAGGGGACGAGGCTTCGAATGCTTTGGAAAATGAGACTTAGGTCGAGGGGAATGCTGAGTACTTGTCTGAAACACAACAGAGTCAGAGGCAACGGGAAGTGATTGACGTTGGTGCTCTTCTTGAGAAACCAAATTGAAGGCCTTCGACATGGACGGCAAGGGGTCAAGCATAAGGATCTGTCGACGAGCTGCATGGAACGACTCATTAAGCTTCATAAGGAATGCTACTACATTCCTCCGTTCACAAAGATCGATGAGATTCTGATTAGCCTTGCAGCTACAGCCTCCACAAGTGCAAATTCTCATAATTCTTGAGCTCCTCCCAAAGACCATTGAGCTTAGTGAAGAAGGAGCCAACATCCATCGATCCTTGCTGCAATATTGCAATCTGATGTTGAACATGGAAAATTTTGGCAACATTCTTCTGCTTGAATCTGGTTTCCAGTGTTTTCCAGATAATATGTGCATCATCCAAACACACAACTTGGCTGGCAATGTCAGAGGACACAGCATTCAGAAGCCAAGAACAGATTAGGGCATTGCATCGAAGCCAAGCCCCATAATCCCGATGATCATCATCAGGTTTGGAAATAGTACCATGAATAAATCCAAGTTTATTCTTCGCCGTCAGTGCTTTGGTGATGGCACGAGACCACAAATTGTAATTTGCATCTCCGAGAAGCTTCTCAGTGACCAAGAGAAGACTGGTAGAATCCGCAGCGTAGAGATACAAAGGATTGGAGTAATCGAGAGAAACGGAGGGAGGTGTTACAACTATCGGTGATGCAGTTGCAGATTCGGCATCCGAATGAGAAGACATAATGAAGAAGGAAATACAATTAAAAAAACTAAATTGAAAAGTAAACAGAAATATATCAAAATTCTTAAACAAATTCTCATATATATTAGTATATAATATTAGATGAACATATAGTTGGACCGCCATCTCACGTATAATAATTACGGTGAAAAGTTATCTAAAAATCTTATCTATAAGAATCAATGTATATATAGTATATTCTTGTAGGTTTTGTTATTTTGGAAATGAATTAATCAAAGGGAACAACTGAATTCAATTTAGGCGATGATGAATTTGCAAGCTGTTGCCTAAAGGAAATATTAGTAATCGCATGATCTAATGAAACATCTTAGTTTTTTTTTTCTTGTTATAAATTACATTACATTACAATATACATACATATATATACAGAGACAAATATAGAAAAATTATACCACAATATTGTGAAGAATATCAATTATTAATTTGATTTACTGATACTATATTGAGCGAGAGAGATTGAGAAATTTTCTGTACTTTATTATACCTTCTGTACATCAATATATATACAGAAAAAGAAGAGATAAAGCTAAATCTAGATACAACTGCAATATAAAAACAGAAGCGATCTAAGATAGAAACAGAAGAGCTGCAAATCAGGGAATATAACAGAAAAATAAATCTCGTAGGATATACGTTGATATACTATACATAAAATTAATAATATTTTTATTTTATTTTATAGGAATTTGATGATTAAAGAAATATTTTTCCCACACTAACCATGTAAGTCCTAATGTCCTATATATAGACACACACACACAGTCGGGTCGACAATTCAAAGGGAGGAGAGAGAGAGCATCCCACCGACAAGGACGACATGCTCGGATCATAAAACTCAAACACCAACCTTTAGTCATAGAAAATCGTTGAATGAAAAATATTGAAGTGAGTGGAGTTTCTACGAATGGCGATGTAATAGAGAGTGATATATAAGAACCCTAAATTTCGGACACTGATCGGATTTGATAACGATATCATGAGAATCTCATCCTAGGGTTTGGAGCAGGAGAGCGAGGAGGCAAAAAGAACGAGAGAACGAGGCCCAACCGTTAGGAGTGAGCACGAAATAAATACCGAATCCAAATTCGTTTTGATCTGACACCCGAAAATCTGAGTACTTAAGATAATTTTCAAATATCTACATATATCCAAATGTGAAATTTAAAGATAAAACTATAATATGTTATATAAACTTAGGGTTGCCAAATTGGGTAGCACAACCCATTTGGTTACAATCCATTTGGGTTACATGAATTTATGGGTTGGATCAACCCAAAACTGTTATAAATATGATGAAAACCAAATGGATTGGTTAAAATTAGGGGTGTCAAAACGAGCTTAGTTCGTGAACCGTCTCGTGGCTCGCCAGAAAAAGAGCGATCTAAGACATGATTTTTTTCAACTCATTAAAAAACTAGCCTAACGAGACAAGCTCATTGAACATGATATTATAAATATCCTAATTATTATGACGGTGATAATTAGGAATATTAAATGAAAATTAGAGTATAAATATGAAAATGTTATTAAAATATATTTTATTGTTATTATCTATTTAAATTACATTACTTTGGAAAAATTCCAAATAAATACATGAATTTGCTAAAAAATACATCAATTTGTTAGCTGCCAAATAAATACAAGAATTTGCAGATTTCTCCTAATTTAACCCAGCATCTGTAACGTCGTTTATATTCCGTTCGCCGTTGCTGACATGTAAAAATGGCAGTGTCATATTTGACAGATAAACACCACGTGCATAACACGTGGACCACGTAATTTAATTTGAAAATCCAAATAAATAATCGAACCGGAATGGTTTAAACTTTAAACCGATTTAAGTCTTTAAAACTTAAAACACATTCTAGAAAGAAAAAAAATTCGCGAGAGATCTAGTGGCCACCGAATCCCTCTCGCAATGTAGATTTTGAATGTGCTAGAGATTCTTTCGAGGACTGGGATGAGTGATCGTTGGAATTTCTCTTCTTCGTCGTTTTCGTTGGAGTTCTGATATTTACTCTGAAAATTTCAAGCGAATCAATTCTTCTTGCTATCAAGTTTCCCATGAGTTTCAGTTAGTTTATTTGTTCGACGTGGCTTGCCATCTTTTGCGTTGGGCCGTTGGGTTTATCGTTCACGATACCGTATCATTCGTCTGACCCTATGAACTGTGAGGTGTTATAGAGTCTGACTGAAAAGATCGAATGCGAGTTTCTATCGTTATAAAAAAAAAGATACATATAAACTGCAATCAAGATAAAAAAAAAATACTAATGGATTGAGATAAAATGGTAATAGGTTTAGAGTTTTATAAGTAATTTAGTTAAAATTTGGGGTTAAAATAGTAAATTAATTATTTTTCGAGTATTCGCATGTATCTGTCCTGTTTTTTCTAAGAAATTATATCCAATCTCATTTTAGAAGACGTGGGACATCCAAAATTCGGGTATTTGACCCACGGATTGAGTTGGTACGTGAATTATGGGTATAATCCATAAATGACCGAACATTTAACATTTCTACATGTATTCAAAATTTGGATACTCATATGAAAATGTATTCTACACTCTAAATTCCAGTGAAAAAACCTCTAAAATCCAAAAAAAAAAAAAAAAAAAAACATAATCCCCCCAAATTACGGGAATCACCCATGAGTCCAATCATATATTTAAAATGGGCTTAATCTTGTCCTCTTGCCAGTTACAGAATAAAAGAAGTTCAATTTTATTCTCCTAGAAAAAACCTCTAAAAACCAAAAAAAAAAAAAAAAAAAAACATAATCCCCCCAAATTACGGGAATCACCCATGAGTCCAATCATATATTTAAAATGGGCTTAATCTTGTCCTCTTGCCAGTTACAGAATAAAAGAAGTTCAATTTTATTCTCCTATATATTTTATTTTCACAATTTTTTTAATTATTCGATTCTATTTATTTGTCCCCTTTTGTTCCACTCGAATATGATGTATTATTATAATGATTATGAATTTGAATGATGAAGTACTTTTTTTTATGAATTAAAGCTCCACTAATTGTCGTTAGATAACCATTCCATTCGATAATTAATTTAATCTTTTATTTCTAAACAACAAAATAGATAATTTTTTTAAAAAAAGAACGTAATAAACTCCATTAAATTTCTCTTTCTAAAATACCTCTTGATATTCTCAACGCTAGTTCGAAGCATACCGTCAAATCGATGATATATCAGTACGGCCCATTGGTTCATAATGGGCCTTATGTTATAAATGACGAAAAGGCATCCGAGTATGAACCGGGTCCGAACCCGGATCGAGAAAATGGGTTTGGAGGCTGGAGCTGCTTTTTTTTTTGGTTAGCTTCTCTCAACTTCAAACCAGAGGTAGGAAGGAACAGCCGAAGCATAGGGAGATCTGGCTCTGTCCGCCGATTTTTGATCTGCTCGTGAATCGAGGAACGAGGCAATGGACAAAGGCAAAGCAGTGATGGGTTCCGGTCGGAGATGGGCCATAGATTTCACCGATCACTCCACTGTTCCATCTTCCCGCGACATCCTCGATCCTCCTGGTTTCTCTCGTGCTTCTCCCGAACAGGTTTTCTTTTTATCTTATCGGATGCAATCGTATTTCTCTTACGAAAATCTTCTCGTGTTATTGCGGTTTAAACTCAATTTTCGACACCGATTTGCCCTAATCAATGTGCATCTTACTGGGGTTTCCCGGGTTGTCGTTGTTGATCTGAATTTCAGGATGATTCAGCATCCAGCCGCCAAAAGAAAGACGCTGAAGCGAATTGGAAGCTTCAGGTAATGATACTAATTTGAAAATTTTATCGTGATTTGTACGCAATCGGTCTCTATTCATTTATTTAGATCTTTGACGTATTTTGCTTCCGTTGATTCAGATTATTGTAGAAGTTATGTTATACTGACTTCTCTATCTCTATCTCTATCTGTAAATTCAGTAAGATCTAAGAAGGAAAAATTCCTGTTTCCCTTGTTAATGGCTATTTAGAGCAATGTTAAATAGATTCGATTTCTTGGTGAATGAGCAGAAAGCCTGGGAAGTGGCGCAATCTCCTTTCAGGAACTTGATGATGATGGGTTTCATGATGTGGATGGCTGGGAACACCGTGCATCTGTTTAGCATCGGCATCACATTCTCGGCTCTGTGGCAGCCTATCAGTGCCCTCCAAAGCGTTGGAAAGAGTAAGCACTTTCGCTGCTTGTCCATCTTTGCCTAATGTCCGAATTCTCAGCTTTGAGTACTGCACTGGTGTATATTTGTTGTCTTACGTCAAATTGCAGAAGTTTAATGGAAGTGTAGACTGTATACGATCGCTGAAAGGCTTGGACCAGCCGATATGATTGATATATTGCGGTTTTCTTTCCTCTGGCAGCTTTTTTTTTGGGTTTTTTTTAAAAGACTAGTCAGTTCTTGCAATCATGACATGCAATTAAAACGTCAGCAGTACATGATTTGTTTTGTTCAAGTACACATTCTACAGCAGTGGAACCACCGACGGGGAAGAAGATGAGTTGATTTAGATTCGATAACTTGCTGTGTAAAACCATCTTAAATGTAATTTTAGTTTTAGTTGGTATACTCAGGTGCTGAGTAGGAAATAATTAGAACCACTTAAGAGATGGAAGAAATGCTTCTCAAGGATCTTGGTAAAGGAATCTACTATTTTAGCGTTTATATGACCTAATCGGTAGTGTTTTTTCACTTTGCAAAGCATCTCTTTTTTTAGTTTTAACTTTTGTTTTGTGAACAGTGAACCAATGTCTTTGTCCTCTCATGTAATCCTGCCCTTGTTTGTAGTTTTTGAGCCATTCAAGGATAACAAGGTGGAACTGCTTATGCCTAAATTAGTCTTTATCGCCCTTAATCTTGGAGGATTAGCTTTGGGTATCTGGAAGGTGAGAGGCATTTCTCCTTTCCCCCGGTGTTGCTTATCTCCCTTTCTCCTTTAAGGCAACACAGCCTTGCAATGCAACCAGAAGATACTGTCTCTTTTTCATAAGCATATCTATTTCCCTTTCGCAGCTGAACACTCTGGGACTTCTCCCAACACATGCATCAGACTGGGTTTCATCTTTACCCCCTCCTCAGGTTGGTATCTCCTCAATTCATATCTTCCCTTTAAGAGTAAAAAAAACTATTGGGAATAGTCTATTCCGATGCTAGAAAATTTGTTTCTGGAGCAAGGGTTTGTTTCCGTGTGAATCATTTGTCACTGAAGCAGAAACTTCCCTTTCGACTTGTGATCAAATCGCCGATACATTTTGTGTATTCACTGTGTTTTTTTCAGGAGGTTGAACACTCAGGAGGAGGAATCACTTTTCATTGATTGATCTTGCTTCTCTTTGTGTATTGTGGAAGAGTCTCATAAGCCGTGAGAGAACGTCGATAGACATTAAGGGATTTGTTCAACCCGCTCTCATGCGGGTGTTGTTGGCCATAAAACACTGAATCAATTGCTTTTAATTCGTGATCGTTGTAGCTTAGCTTCTAAATGGAGAAAACTATAGTCACTTTCCTTGCGATGTAACATTGTTCACCTTGACTATTTATAGTATGGTGTATTATTGCGCTGTGGGCATATAAAGGAACCATTCTAGTGTGTCATCCATGTTCCATCTCATAGGTCATGGCTTAGCATTTTCATCATCTGCTTGCTCCCCTTGCCAGTTGTGACCGAACTCTCCACATCTCTATGCTGCCATTAGGGATGGGCATAGGTTAAGTACTGAGTTTTCCAGTGTATCCGATCAGCTTCTCCTTCGATGAGAATCGGGTATCCGAATTTTGGAGTCCGATAAATGCGGCATATCTAATGGTCAAAGATCGAACGATGACACGGAGTAGGAAATCAAAATTTTAATCCCCGAATCAGAACTTTTGAATATATATATATATATATTTAAAAAAATTCGAATTTCAATTGAAATCTTGATTCCTAGATTATAAAAGGAGCATTATCCAAAATATTTATTTTTGCTAAAAACTACTTCTACATATATCTCTTGACCAAAATATATGAAACTTCGGAGCAAACCAATCAAGATATACAACCCCACCATAACACATATACCACATTGACACTACTTTGGGTTATGTGGGTTGATCCAACCCAATCCGATTATTGATCCAAATGGGTTAACCCATTTAAGTAATTTTTTTAAACGGGTTTTTAATCCATTAAACCCATGAATTAAATGAGTTAAACCATTAAACCCTCTACATTCATTAAACTCATTACATATATGTCACTAAAACTATTATATATAAATATCTAAATAGTAATATATGTATATCTATATACACATAAATATATGTATATATATATATGCGAACCAAAAATATGATACCAAATCAAAATGTTTGGGTACCGTGTCCAAAACAAATCGAAAAATTTGGTATCGTTTCGAAACAAACCGAAAAAATCTGTACCGAACCGAAAAAGCGATACCGTTTTCGAAACAAAAAAATTGAAATCGTTTTCGAATCGAACCAAAAAACTCGCTACCGTTTTCGAAATAAACCGAAAAAATCGAAATCGTTTCCGAATCGAACCGAAAAACTCGGTACCACTGTTGAACCGAACCAAAAAATCGAAATTGTTTCTGAACCGAGAAACTCGGTACCGTTTTTGAAACGAACCAAAAAACTCGATACCGTTTTCGAAATGAACCGAACAAATCGGTGTCGTTTCCGAATCGAACCGAAAAAATCGATATTGTTTCCAAATCGAATCGTTCAAAAAATTGAATGGTAATGTTTCTAAATAATCGAATCGAATCGGACCGAATTTTAAAAAAATCCAAAAAAATCGAAAATTATCATAAAACAATATACTTTTTCTTAATAAAAAACAAAATTTAATATAATATAATAATTGATTTCTATATATTTTTATAGAATTGAATTGTCAAATATGTTCACTCTCTTATTTTATATATATATATATTTATAACTATATGTATATATAAATAGTATGTAAATGGGTTAAACAGATTTAATGGATCGACCCAACCCACCTCATTATTGTTGTTTGTTTTTTTTAATAAGTGAGGACCCCTAGCTGTTACCTTTCGGATACGCTGACTAGGTAAACTTACGGTGCGGGAGCAGTCTTATGGATCATATAAACCCAGAAATTAGTTCCCTCCCTACCCGCCAGTAATCGAACACTCAACCTCATTATTGTTGTTATTAGGTCGACCCAATCCACCCCTGGCTAATCATACGAATCGAACCATAGGGGGTCGACAACAGCAACAAGAAGAAAACAGCTAGGAAACCCCAGTTTCAGATCGACAAAGAGCACGCTAGGGTTTGGAGGATCCAAAGCAGAGAAGGACGATTTCAAGCAAGGGCTGGCTAAAGAAGAAGACATCACGAGCGATTTCTTGGTTGACAGAGATTAAAATTATATTATATATAATTAATTCTTAATATAAACAATTTATACAATCTTGATATCTAATCTGATAAAAATCTAATTAGAATTGTTTTGCTGGTATTAGATTTTTTTATGTGATCATACATGACCGATCAAGTTAGATAAAAACATATAAACTTGTGATAAATCAATAAAAACATTTTGATAACAATTTATTTTGATATTTAGTAGCATCTTAATTCACATAAAATGAAACATTTGTAAAAGATATGTACAAAGTGTTATACCCAATTTTCTTTCTTTCGGCCTTTTCTTTTGGGTCTGAAAGGCCTCAAACTCATATTTGTTTACCATCCTTGATAGTTAAGGCCAACCAGATGTCGGATTCGACGATATCTTAAAATGGATGAAAATAGTTTCCAAATCGTTTACTTTTACGAAATTACCACTGATTTGTAAAATCACATTAGATTTTCCGCCCAAAATCCCACCCAGCTCCCTTCCTCCATATTTGAATTTATCTATTAATTAAAAGTTCGTATCCAAAAAGGAAAATGAAAAACAACCCAGCATAATCTGTATAGATAGGGTAGAATACCATATCAAAATCAACAAATTGAGAATGTGGTGTGCGTGGTTCTAGACCGAGTGTGCTCGGATGCTTTCCGACAAGAAAAACCAATCCTCCAGCAAGGAATGGCTGCTACCGTTAGGCTCTCATGAGGCTTCTGAACCATCTTAGACTAAAATAATATATACATATAAAATCAAATTCTTAAAATCTGAGAAGGAACTGGATATAAACATCCTAAAAATTGCAGCTGCAGTTTCGATAAGCAGTCTCCACGACACGAAACTAAGTTTCACGCAGAGAAAATACATTTTAAAGAGCTCACCAAATAGAGTGTGTGTGTTCATTTAACGAGGTCCATTTGCAAGGCTCTTGAGGTGGTTAAATGTCTTCTGCTTGATCCACTGCCTGTCGTATGGGAGATACGCTTGACGCGAGTGGTCGTAGCTGCAAACGAACCAGATAAAAGGGCGTTTTCATAAAGCTTTGTCAAATCTTCGTAAGAAATCATATTGTATTTTCCCTAATCTCATGCTGCATCGGTTATGCAAACATGGAAGAAAAAGTTTTCAACTTTTCGGCTGAAATCACGACACTCAAATGAACAATCGAACAACGAGACAACTTACGGATTGTTAGTTATCGGAACAGCGAATTGTCGAACCATTTTTTACTGCCGTTTCAAATTTAAGCAGGAAATCTTTTATTCCAGATCCAATGCTCCATCAATCACACGACCAGACAAGAGAGCTATATAGCGCCACTATAGATTCAAGAAAAGGTTCCCACTTATCACCAGAAGTTGCAGTAGCAAAGCAACTTGTTGACGACAAAACGGCTCAGGCATTGTTAGTCATGCAACTGAGAAATCCAGAATGAGTCCACACACAAATAATTGAGGACGGTCAAAAGGATCATATGCTTATGTTACAGAGGAAATAGAAAAAAAAATGCAATAGATTGGAGAAAAGTTTATGGCTTTCAGCATGCATCATGGTAGCAACGAACTTAATAGCACAATATACACGTCTGGCACATCAAGAGTGATTACAGTTTTACTTGCGAGCGTTTGTTTAAAAGTCAAGAGGGTTTTTTGTTTTGTCCGAAAGAAACAAGTAATCTTCATATCGAATGCATGCCTAGGGGTGCCACATCAAAGCATTCCAGTTACCAACTAGCAAAAGCCAGCAACAAGAATACAAGACATTCAATAGCAACAGTAAGCACGGTGCATGTAGGAAACGCAAGGATGAAATCACAGCTCAGGTTCTCTACACGTAGGGCTATTGCCTAAACGAGATTTCTAACGATTGCATGCCGTGTGATGGATGTTAGCAAGAATTTTGAGCAGTGAGTATAATTTTGGGGGAGAAAGAGAAGAAATAAAAACTAGAGAGAGAGAGAGACTTACACCAAAGCGCTCATGTCAGCCAGACCATCAATAAAATTGTAAAGATCTGCAATGTCATATGAGATATTTCTGAGGGCTGGGTTTATTTCCTTGAGTTTTCTTTCGTATAAACCGCAAATACCTGTATTACCCAGCCAATCCATTGTACAATAAGAATATCAGGTTCTCAATATACAGATCCCAGAATGAAGAATATTAATATATAATGGCAGCTAAAAAATCACAGTAGCTGTAGAACTGTAGGAAAAACCTCCCCTCCTTTCCTAAACAATCAAAACAGAGTTACTAAGTTTAAAGATTCCAACATTCCTTCGCTCTATACCCCTCTAGTTTCTAAAACAAGCCAGTTGAAATTGAACATAAGAGCATTGTGAACATAAGTTTAAAGATTCCCACATTCCTTCGCTCTATTTCCCACATTCCTTCCCTGCCTTACACATACTGTACAAAATGTCCAGATATCAGCCTGCACAGAGGAAAACTTCCCGTTGCAAGTCACCGAGCATATTCATCAATTACTACTTACTAGAACAAAATATTACAAAAGCTCTCAAGGCTACTACCGTCCTTTTCCCTCCCTTAAAGACGGTCTTCCTAAACACTCAGATGGACATGAGTCATGATTTCCGATCATGCATCATGTCAATCACGACATTGACCAAATCCAAAGTCCAAACAAACGAACAATCAGCATTGACAAATTGGTTATAGAATGATGATAAGAATCTATTAGCTACCATCCATAGCTTGGCTTACAGAGCCGTAATCCATAAATGTCCTCGTCGCTCTGTTGGGAGATGTTTGCAGTAAGATGATAGTGTGCTTACTGTTCGTATTAGCCTACAAAACAAAGACGAGTTCTGCACAATCAGCTCATCTCCAATACACACGTTGAACTAACAAAGGATGCCTTATGAAATAACCAATGCAAAAGATCAACCCTACCAATATTGACAAAACCATCATAGATTCATAGGCTTCTACCATAATGTCATCTCTTCTCTCTCTCTTTTCGTTTGGAACTCGCAAACAGATAATAGACAGACGAAAACAAATTCTAAAAGAATACCAAAGTTGCCAAGAATCATACCAATCACCTGGAATAAAATTTATCGAAGAAATCACGCGTAAGAGAATTCATTGGAAAACAAATAAGGAACTGATACACAGTCGAATATCGATCCCATTCGCGGGAGTCGTAGCTCATCGAAACCCTAGTTTCTACGTGAACAAAGAGGAAATCGAAGCCGAAATCGAACCAAAAGGCTAAGAGATTTTACAAAGTTAACAAGGAAAACCTAGAAATATGTAAAAATCGAAGAAAGGACACACTGATTACCATCTTCAGCTGATCGCTTGACTTCAACAGCAAAGCTCGAGGGCCAAGGAAGAACAAAACCAAGAAAACAAGCTGCTAAACCCTACAAATGCATATATAGGGGCAAAACAGTAAAACGTAAGCGGCGTATAGTTTCTGATTTTGACACGTGCCACATGTATCTTGCTGCCGCCAAATTGTATGCTTTCTAGATGTCAATCCGGCCGATCTGTCCGCAGTCTCAACGTTTCGGGTTTAGATTTAGATTGATCCGATTTTTTTTTAGATCTATATAATTAAGTCCGAAACCTGATTTTATATATTCTGAACTTAGATTGGATCAGATCGGACTAGACCAATCCATATAATTCTCTTTGTAATTTTTTTTTAAATATTAGGCGTTCGGGACAGCCGACTCGAATCCGAAATCCGATTCGAGACCAGTCCAAAAATCCGATTCTTTTATACCAAAAAACTTAAATCTGAAATCCGCGTCTAAATTGACACCCCTAACTTTCTAGCATAAATTAATTGAATTATAGTGTGATTAAAGTGTCTTATAGTTCAAATTTGTATATTGTTTATCCTAATAACCAAAATTTTCGTAATTTTATTATAATATTTAAAATGTCGTTTGATATTTTAATATTTTAAATTGGCCTCTTTTAGTTTTTTTTTGTTAATTTTAATTGATCTAAATGATATGGTTTTGATAACTCAATAATGTTCGGCTATTAAAACAATTATTATAAAATTTGGGTATTTTTGTTGTGGAAATATTTCAGAAGTCCAGAGCCATTGTTATACCTCCATATAACCTAAGGAAAAAAAATCAACAAATCCGTGAACAAATCATATTGCAAAGAAAACTAACAAAAAAAACCCCTAAAATCACAGTAGCATAATCCCAAACCCAAACACCGCCATGAAACCCACACGGCGAAGCCATTAAGAAGCAGCGTTTCCAGCCCTCGTCATCTCACACCAAAATTCACGATGATCTCGATTCTGTGTGGTTTTTGTTGGTTTAGTGCTCTATGATGTACTGTTATATGAGTTTTATTTTGATACATTTGATGTATTGATATTTACTATGATTATATGGATGAGTGTTTGTATATTACATGTTATGCATACTTTAATATCTTATGAAATCCATGTATTGTTATGAATAATGCTAAACTCCCTAGTCATATATCATTGTGGGAACAATGATGTACTAAGACTAGTATGATGTGTGATAGATGATCATAAAGATGATTATGGGTATTGGATACGATCACAATCATAGGTATTCGTTGGACAATGGAATACTGGAATAACCCGCATGAGATTGTCACATAGACTAGCGTCATGACTTGAATCTCATATGACGGTTCCATGATTGGATCCTATGACCTGACATGTCTACGAATCCAACATGAGAAGTTGCGTACTTTGAATACGTCAAATGTCATGCATAACAGGAGGACTATAAAGGAGTGTGTCAGGTACGACACGAATCATGTACTAGATTGAGATATTCAAGATGGAATTTGTATCTCTCGTAAAAGAGAGAGATATCGCTGGGCCCCTCGTGTGAGCGAGACTGTAGAAATGTGTGGCCACACTATAGACAGGCGTCGTCTATTTCATACAGCCAAACTCTGTGAACGAGAAAGTAGTCGAATCAGATAAGATGGTTTCTCCATGCCTTATGTTCGACATATGATATCGTGATACAAAAGGATCATCAACCGGAATCATCACTGACGTTCGTAAGATCATGAACAAACTCTATTCGAGATAGGTAGTCGTAGTGTCTTGCTAGAGACCGCCTATGACTTGTATACCCGAAATGAAGATTTCGAGTCATACTTCTATATCGAATGAGCCGAGGAGTCACACACATAGGAAAGGACAAATACGCGAGAAATACGAGAAATTTCCAGAGGCACGGAGGCCAGACCGACCGGTCTAGGCTTGCCCAGACCGACCAGTCCAGACGCGTGGACCGGTCGGTCCAAAGGTAACGAGCAAAGGTTGTTCGATCCCGAAAAGCTCCAGACCGATCGGTCCAGGCATCAGAAATTACTTATCTCACTCTAATTAGGATTTTAAGTTAACAAACACTTGGGGAACGCCTCCTAATTGAGAGAGCACGATTTCTCAGACCTTTTGAGAGGTTTTGGAGTTCCGAAAACCCTGAAAAATATCCCTGAAACCCTGGCGCATTGGAGAACGAGTTCTTCAATCCTAGCAGATAAGTTCCAAGTTGTTGGAATCCTTTCCGTCATGTGGATACATGTAGAGGGCGAGTTAATCTTCCTGCCTTCGTGATCGGACGAACACATCAATTGAAACATGTTCTGGATCGATTGAGGTAAGTGTTCTAACGTTTCTACGAAATCATACATGCATGGTTTTAGGGTTTATAGAAATTGTTTTGTTTTATATCAGCTACGCAAACCCTAAAATCTATCTTTTAGAAATTAGATTCGCTGTAGAGATTACAAGAATTTCCAACAGTTTTAATATCGGTTCAGTTTGTAATAGTTTTGTTACATATATATATATATATATATATTCGTACATTGTCCTTAATTCCGGTTTTGGTTTGTACTTACCGAGTTTGGTATTTATCGGGTTCAGTTCAAAAACAGATTATTCGTTTCTAAAAGAATATATTTTTAGTGAATTTGAAAAAAAATTGTGTTATTAAAAATCGATCTGTAGATGAACTTTTATATAGCAAAGAATAACAAATTCTGTAACAAACTCTAACTAATTACAAAAGAATAAAAAGATGGGTGATTGACAAACAAGGGACTAGTGGCCACAAGGAACAAGAAGACTAGCTACGGTCAAATATGATTATGCGTACACAAATCAAAATAATGTGTTCGTATTTGAGGAGTTACTATTCACATTGTAAATTCGGAAAAAACAAAGGTTTGCATGTCAGAATCAATAAAATGAACTCGTTATCTTATTATACATCAAATTAGATTCCACAGTTTTTGTTCTCAGAATCTCCCAAGAAAAGATCTCACTTTGTGTTCTTAGCAAAAGAAGATGAACAACATGGCTTTTTTACTGGAGTGAGATGAGAGAGAGAGAGAGAGAGAGGGAGGGGACTCCAGATCAGCCCACTCTCCGACGAACCGCTGCCGCCACCAGATCCCACCTCCACTGGACCTTTAGCCACCCAAGCCACTATCCCGCCACCGAAACCCCCAGATCCAAAATGCCCAAACCTTATCCCCTCTTCTTCTTCTTCTTCAACTACCCCATCATCTTCCCCCACCCCTTACGCTAAATCCCGTCCCCAGCATTCTGCAACCACCTATCGGGCGATTCCCTTGGCCAAGAAAATCTCCCAACCACCTCTTCTTCCTTCCCCCCTTCCACCATTATCAGACCTCGTACCCCCACTTCCTCCCCTCTCCGAATCTGGCTTTCCGCCCCTTAGCCCTGCTACTAACCGAGCTTCTTCCCTAGTAACAAGTCCGATTGCAGCTGGTTCCAAGCTGGTGGACTCGTCCCCTTTCGCCTCGCTTGGGATTCCCTCTTCTCCCGACGGCCCTGTGTTCGGGTTTCCTCCGACCTCTTCTCCGGTAGCAAATGAGATCACCAGAGCTTCTCAGCGGAGATCGGTTGCTGTAACTGACCCTGTGTCTGCAGGTATATTGCAACAACAAAGACTTCTCAACCTGCCGGCTGATGCTCTATCACCGAAGGTTCCTGCAGCTATTTTCGGTGCTCCCCATTCGGAATCAGGTGTCCGTCCTCCATTGTCTCGACTGCATGCTCGTTTTGGACAACTCTGCAAGCTTGGCAGGCCTATCGTATCTTCCTCCGGTAAGCCATGGATCAAAATTCCTGAATCTGTTGTTGAAGAACAAACCGGACATACCATGCAAGAAGACAATTCACCCGAGAGCTTCATCCAAGACAAGGACGACGTGGTTGCCTTAACCAAGAAGCAATTAATGAAACCTTCAGAATCAAAAGGAGTCTATGGAAGAGAATCATGTGAGGATCTTCATAATACACACACATGACATATTCAGGCATAATTCAATCTCTTTTATATGGAAAAATATATTCGATTGTATATTACATAACGTCAACTTTCCTTTTCTTGTAGACTAAGAAAGTCTATATTATGTAAATGTCTCTTTGTGAATAAATATATACGAGGAATCCTTCTTTTTCTATATGGTTCTTCTCTTCCATAACTCATACTTCTTCTTCTTCAATCCTCTTCCTCTTTCTTCAAACCTAAATTAATCTGAAAATCTTTATGGTATCAGAGCGTTAAAGATCCGATACACGTTTTCGTTTCTTCTCTAACCTCGGATTTAGTCGCTTCTTCCTCCCTGCTTTTTCTCTCTCTTGTTCTCTCTGCGACTATCATGGAGGCAGTATCCAAACAGATTCCGATCACCCTAAACGGTGAAAACTATTTCTTTTGGTCAAAAGCCGCCAAAGCTACATTTAGTAGCAAAGGTTTATGGAGTCATATCACCGATGGAGAACCTCTTTCTCCACATATCGAAACTGTAGGAGAGGCTCCGGTGAATGCAACTCAACCACGACCAACCGGCAATGAGGAGAAAGCAAAATGGCATCAAGATGATCAACTTGCCTTGGTTCTTTTGCAAGGTTCCCTCGATGCGACTGTCTTGCAATCATTCATCTCCATGGAATCCGCCAAGGGGTTGTGGAATGCACTCAAAGAAGTATACGGTAATCTATCTAACATAAGCCGTATATACGAAATCAAAAAGAAGATGGCACAATTGCAACAACAAGGCAACCCTTTCACCAAACTACAAGGACTGTACACGGCTTTGTGGAACGAGCTTGAAGAGATCCGCCCTCCAACGGTTGATGCTAGAGTTTGTCTCGAACGTACCGAGGAGGACAAAGTTTTCGGATTGCTCCTTGCATTAGACCCGTCATTCAATGACTTGGTCTATCATGTCTTGCGTCAATCCAAGCTTCCGTCCTTTTTCGAGGTTTGCATGATGGTCAACCGCGAAGAGGGTGGAAGGAATTTGTTCGGTGGTCCGTTGGCAATGGCCAACTATAGCTACCGGCATCCGCCTATTCTCTCCACTCCGAAAGAGAAACGAGTACCGACGTGCGCCCATTGCAAGAAACTCGGCCACATCAAGGAGAAGTGTTGGATTCTTAATCCACATCTCAAGCCTACAAGGTATCGCGACACATCGCAGCCGAAAGGTGCTGCTATGAGTGCCGGCAACACAATCTCTTTCACCCAAGAGGAATTCAAAAACTTTGTTCTTTCTATGAAAGACAAAGAAAGTGGTAACTTTTCTTCTTTATCCACCCCTCATATCGTTGTTGACTCGGGAGCCACATCACACATGTTTCACGATAAGAGTCTCTTTTTTAAACTTGAAAATTCATTTGGCATGGTTACTGTTGCAAACGGAAAATACGTCTCTATTAGAGGACATGGTATGGTTCGATTATTTGGCATGGAATTCTCGGCATTATATGTTCCAGAATTTACCACCAATTTGTTATCAATCTCTAAATTAATTCAAGACACATCTTGTCGTATTATATTTGATACTAATACTGTATTATTTCAGGATACTAAGTCGGATACTACGTTCGGCAAAGGAATAAAGCATGGCAATCTCTACTATGTTGAAGACTTGCATTGCTCCTCTCATTCTATTTTTTACGTTTCGCATTCTCTTTGGCATGCTAGATTAGGACATCCTCATAATAAAGTCCTCTGATTACTTGTTCCAAACACAAAGGATGATGTTGATCTTGATTTTTGTGAAGCTTGTGTGCTTGGTAAACATTGTAGATCGGTCTTTCCTATTTCAAAAACAATTTATGACAATCCATTTGATTTGATTCATTCGGATGTGTGGACATCACCGTGCTTCTCTCGCGATCATTTTAAATATTTTGTCACGTTTATAGACGAAAAAACAAAATATACTTGGCTTTATTTATTAAAACACAAAAGCGATGTGTTTGATGCGTTTAAGGTATTTTATGCTTTTATCTCTAACCAATTTGGCAAAAAGATTAAATATCTTCGAACAGATAACGGTGGCGAGTTCACAAGTCATCAATTCCGAAACTTCCTCAACAATCACGGTATTATCCATCAAAGATCATGTCCGAACACGCCTCAACAGAATGGCGTGGCCGAACGCAAAAACCGACACTTAATGGAAGTCTCCCGAACGCTTCTCTATCACCGGAATGTCCCGACAACGTATTGGAGTGATGCCGTTAAAATGGCATGCTATCTTATCAATCGTCTACCAACACAAGTTCTCCACGATCAATCTCCGTTTGAGGTACTTTACAATCGTAAAGATTCACTTGAACACTTACGTGTGTTTGGTTGTGTTTGCTTCGTTCATGTAGATGAAAGGCAAAGGGATAAACTACAACCCAAGAGCATACGATGTTTATTTTTAGGATACCCAATGGATCAAAAGGGTTATATGTGTTTTAACCCATCAACCAAACGCATATACACCTCACGAGATGTAAAGTTTGAAGAACACTTGTGTTATTTCGGCTAGGGGTGGGCATCCGGATCGGGTTAATCGGGTTCGGGTAAATCCGAACCGATTAATCGGGTTTCGGATCGGTTCGGGTTGTGCTAAAATAACCGATCGGTTGGTATATTCTCATAACCGATCGGATCGGTTCGGTTCGGATAAATAACCGATCGGATTCGGTTATCCAATTAACCCGAATTAAATTAAAACTTATGCTAATTAATTAGGGTTACTGATTTGCTTCTGTAACTTCGTTCTCTCCTTCGAGTCTTCGACAGGGCCTGACGGCCTGTGTCGCCTCCCTGTGTCAGAGTTTCTGCTTGGTCAGCTCCGGCCAGCCCTGGCCAACCTCGTCCAGCTCCGGCAAGTTCCGCCAAACTCTTGCTCCGCCAAGCTCTTTGTTGTTTCGCCTGTCTGTTCCCTCCTTCGACTCATCTCCTCCGCCAAACTCTTGCTCCCTGTGTCGAGTTTCTACTTTTTCTGCTGCGGCCAGCTCCGGCCAACCCCGTCCGGCTCCGGTAAGTTTCGCCAAGCTCCTGATCCGCCAAGATCTTCGTTGTTTCGCCTGTTTGTTCCCTCCTTCGACTCATCTCCTCGCCTCCCTGTGTCTAGTTTTTGCTCGAACCTTACAATCATAAAACCCTTCAAAAACCCTAAAATGCAGCCGCGATCGATACCGCTGCGGCGAAAGTTTTTTTTCGACGAGAAAATGGCGTTTCTTTCCAGTTTCCGGCGCATATTCAGTGGACCCAACAGCCTCTCGTCGCAGTCCTTTTGGGTTCGTCACTGTTCATTTCTCACATCTCCTAAGCTCTTCGTCAGCGGTATTCCTTCCATCTCTCGACTCTTCTTCTTTCGTTTTCTTTTGTTCTCGGAGTTGATGTTTATGGATAATCGATGTGTCTGGAACAGTGTTATCTTCTATTTTTCTTGTGTTGTCTACTTTCTTCGATTTACGCGGAATTCTAGGTTTTTTTGGTTGAATTTTGTACGTATGATGAGTTCTGCTGTCGCCAACGAGTTTAGGTTGTAGAGGCGATGTGTGTAACAATTTCCAACGAGACATTCTTCTCTGTGAATGGAGTAATTTTGATTCTGTAGTCGTAGCGCTGATTGTTGATAATCATTTTGCGTGATAAAATAAGCAGAAATCCTTCCATGATCCTACAAGTGATGGATGTCGTGTTTCGATAAGAAGTATCTTGTGAGGAATCATATTAAACAATTTCCTCTGCTCTGTTCCTGTTGTTCTTAGATCTACTCGTTCAATTTCAAACATGTATAGGTGTAAAGAGGTCAATCCCGTATCTTAGACATGCAGTTTCTGATAAAGGAGCTCGTATTTTTCATACATGACGTGAACTTTATCCTTGTGTTTGTTCTTTCTTCCTTCTATATTAGTATATTGTAAATGGTATCGTGCAAATGTGTTTAGTAGCCTTTTGATTCTTACGTAGAATGTAAAGATAGGACCCATGTTCTGGTTTTTGTTGTTTCACCATTGTTGCTTCTGTAGAAGAAAGAGTTTGGCCATGGAATGCACATTTCGGCTCTCAAGAATCATAGGAAAGCGTTTTATGTTTGATTTTTTCTTTTTTGCTATGGGACTTACATTGATTTTGGTTCAAATGACATTATAAAGGTTGTTTTTCTTATTTTTCTATAAAACAATTCATAAAACTTTTTTTAATCGAATATTTGTTTGGATAAACCCGAACCGAACCCGAAAAAATCCGAACCGAACCCGAACCGAACCGATTAAGATTTTATACCCGATTGGATATGAAAATTCCAAACCCGAACAACCCGAACCCGAAATAACCGAATTCGAATAACCCGATCCGACCCGATCGCCCACCCCTAATTTCGGCGACAAAGATCGGAAGGACCTAGATTTACTTGTGGAGCAAGGCACAGATTCAAACCCATATCCTGATCAACTACGTACCTCATATCAACATATTGCCATGCAACACAGTCCTTCGATTCTTGGTCCTCCACCGGGATACTCAAGACTTCACCGAGAACATCATAACCCGCCACTGACACCAATCGTGTCTCCTATCGGGGAAGAATCCCCTCAGGTTCCCCTTGACCCTTGTCCCTTGTCTTCTCCATCAGATTCCACTAACACTGCAGGGCCTATCATTCCGCCGGATTGGTCCGAAGATATCCCAGAAAATTCTGGACACTCTTTGGATGCCTTGTGCGAGGGGGAACCCTCTCTTCCTTTGGATTCTTTGTCGTCCCCTCACATGCTTTCCGATGTTGGTCCTCCGGAAGCTTCATCTATTCACTCTTTACGTCGGGGAACACGAGATCGAAAGCCAACGTGGAAAGTGTTGGCTAATGCAGAAAGTCATCTCTCCACTACTGTTCATTCGATACATCCCTTAGTCTCTTTAAATGATTTTCCACCTAATGCTGTGTCTTTTTGGAGCACCATCATGCAGGATTCTGAGCCACAAAATTATGACCAAGCTAAAGATTCTCCACTGTGGGTTACAGCCATGCACGAGGAGATCGCAGCTTTGAAACGTAATAAAACTTGGGAACTCACCGAGTTACCTCTCGGAAAGAAAGTCATCGACTCGAAATGGGTTTACAAAATCAAATATCATAGTGACGGGGAAATAGAACGCTACAAAGCTCGATTGGTCGCCAAGGGCTTTACTCAAACTTACGGGGAAGATTACACAGACACTTTTGCTCCCGTAGCTAAAATTCCTTCCATTCGTATTATACTTTCACTTGCGGCTAACTTATCTTGGTCCTTGTCACAGCTTGACGTTAAGAATGCTTTCCTCCAGGGTGATTTAGATGAGGAAATATTCATGCAGCCACCGCCCGGCTTTACCGACGACAACCGCGTTTGCCGTCTCCAAAAGGCGATCTATGGGTTTAAACAATCTCCGCGCGCGTGGTACCAAAAACTACATGATGCTCTCATCACACGTGGTTTTACTCGCAGCCATTCTGACCACTCCTTATTCGTCCATCACACAAACACAGGTATCACCGTTCTCTTAGTTTATGTTGACGACATAATACTTACGGGAAGTGATGCACGTGGTATTGAGGATACTAAATTATATTTGCAAACCGTTTTTGATATTAAAGATCTTGGTCCTCTACAATATTTTCTTGGTATAGAAGTTACTCGCGATTCATCTGACATTTTTCTTTCCCAGAGAAAATATGTTCTTGATCTACTTGGTGAGACAGGAAAACTTGGAGCCAAACCCGTTCGGACACCTATTGAGGAACATTTCAAAGATCAATGCGAGGGGGAATTACTCGAGAATGCAGAGCAATATCGTCGCGTTGTAGGTAAGCTCATCTATCTCACGATTATACGACCTGATTTGAGCTTTGTTGTGCATCAGGTTAGTCAATGGATGCATGCACCAACTACAGCGCATTGGCAAATGGTGGATCGGATACTAAAATATTTAAAAGGAACACCGAACAAAGGCCTATGGATGAGGAACAACAAGCATACAGAGATCATTGGATATTGTGATGCAGACTGGGCAGGAGATAGGATAGATCGCAAATCTACAACTGGATATTGCACGTTCATTGGAGGGAATCTTGTCAGTTGGAAAAGCAAAAAACAAACCGTGGTGGCAAGATCAAGTGCAGAAGCCGAATATCGAGCCATGGCAAATACTACAAGCGAGATCATATGGTTGAAGCAACTCTTGAAAGACCTTGGAATCGATTCTACTAAACCGATTCCTCTTCATTGCGACAACCAAGCCGCTCTACACATCGCAGCCAATTCCGTATTCCACGAGAGGACGAAGCATATCGAAGTTGATTGTCACTTCATTAGGGAGAAAATTTCAAATGGGACTATATCTCCGATGTATACGAGAAGTCACGACCAACTAGTCGACATCTTCACCAAGGCAACAAGTTTGTTTGTTCTTAACAAAGTACTCTTCAAGATTGGTCTTACCGAATATCGCCGACCAATCTTGAGGGGGAATGTTGAAGAACAAACCGGACATACCATGCAAGAAGACAATTCACCCGAGAGCTTCATCCAAGACAAGGACGACGTGGTTGCCTTAACCAAGAAGCAACCAATGAAACCTTCAGAATCAAAAGGAGTCTATGGAAGAGAATCACGTGAGGATCTTCATAATACACACACATGACATATTCAGGCATAATTCAATCTCTTTTATATGGAAAAATATATTCGATTGTATATTACATAACGTCAACTTTCCTTTTCTTGTAGACTAAGAAAGTCTATATTATGTAAATGTCTCTTTGTGAATAAATATATACGAGGAATCCTTCTTTTTCTGTATGGTTCTTCTCTTCCATAACTCATACTTCTTCTTCTTCAATCCTCTTCCTCTTTCTTCAAACCTAAATTAATCTGAAAATCTTTATCTGTTTTAGTTGAAGGAGCACGCATCCATCAAGATTTTGTGGTCTGTTCCTTCTACGGAATGAAGCCTAAGTTCTCCAAAATTCAAGGAATTCTCAATTTTCTGTGGGGTAAGCAAAGGAGATTGGAATTCCACTCTCTCCCCGGTAACTCAGTACTGGTTCGCATACAATCGGAAGCTGTTAGATTGGCTATACTTGAACAGGGTTTATGGTACATTGGTGATCAAGCATTCTTGGCTAGGAAATGGAGTTCAAATTATAATTATCAGCTCCTATTAGAGCCAAGCTCCACAATGTACCGTTTGATTTACTCCACATCAATGGTCTGAGTTATATCGCCAGTATACTTGGCAACCCCCTGCAAGTCCGAGCTATCTACGGAATCAATTCTGCAGAGGTTAAAGTGCAGATGGATTTGACCAAGTAGTTTTCCACTGAGTTGGAGGTCCAATTTGACTCCGGGCTAGTCAAGACTATCTCAATCTCCTATCTTTGGATTCCCTCGGCATGCCCTCTTTGTGGTTCCATTGGACATGGAAAAACCAGCTGTCCAAGTGTTAGCCATTTGAATACAACTCGAGATAAAGCTGATACGGGTAAGGGAAAGTCTCGTCCCTCAGTACCAGTCCGCTCTAAGGTCAACCCCACCAACAATTCACTGATCAAAGCTTCCTCTGCTAATGTCCAACACTCTCATGGTAAATCAACTAACACAATTCATTTAGTTGGTGATACTAAACCTTCTAGTGCTCTTCCTCTTGCTGCTGGTCAACTCGTCCAAGACCCGGGTGAACCTATGGCCCCCCTCTTCACCTCTCATTCCCCAAAACAGCCACCATCTTCTGCCTTTGAACTCTCCATCCAACATCTAAATCCCTCTGCCGATCCACCTGTTATTAATTCTCCTACATTACTATCCAACCATGCCTCCTCTCCACCCCCAGATATTGTCCCTCCCTTGTTGCCCAATCCACTTAACATGGAAATGGATCCTTCCCCCTTCTCCCATTAATTTATGTATCTTCTCTTTTGGAACGTGAGAGGTTTTAACGCCCTCACTAAACAAAGAGCCCTTAGGAATCTTTTAGCTCATCATAATTCTCTTTTTTGTGCCATTCTTGAAACTCACGTCCAAAGTCTAAACCAATCACATATATTGTCCTGCCTTGGACCGGACTGGTGCTCTCATGTGAATTATTCGAGTGATCCGAGTGGTAGGATATGGCTGCTATGGAAGGCTCCAGCAACAATACACATACTTGGAGAATCTGACCAAGCTATAACCATCATGCTAAGATTTCCGAATCAATCGGATGTGATCTGTTCAGCTGTCTATGCCCTCAATGATCGAGTAGGGAGACAATCTCTCTGGGAGGAATTGGAGAACACATTTAGAAGCATTGTGGGGCCTAACACTACGTGGCTTATATTTGGAGATTTTAACGAGATAAGGAGGCCTAACGAGCATTCCTCGCTGGGGTACATTAGACTAAACCATGTCAGACCTCTCAACCCAAGACCTTTCAGATTTTTTAACCACCTCACTAAATCTCCTAGACTCTTGGAGGTGGTGGCCGAGGTGTGGGATGCGACTAATCCACGATCAACCAATCTCACTTTGCTTTCAGGGAAACTCAAATCCCTTAAACTTCCTATTAAAACACTAAATAAAGAGCTTTATAGTGACACAGAGAAGAGAGTGATTATTCCTAATGATAGTTTGCTTTCTGTGCAGGTCGAGGCCCTCAATAACCCTTGCCCTCAATCCTTTAATCGGGAACGGTTCTATCTGGACAAACTCCACCAACTGCTGACTGTTGAAGAGGCTTTCTTCAAGCAGCGTTCGCGCGGATTCAATGGCTTGAAGAGGGAGACAAAAATACGGCTTTTTTCCATCGAGTTATGACGTGCTGAAGATCCTTTAATACCATCAAATACATCATGAATCAGGATGGGCAGCGAGTAGAAGCGCTTGACGAGATTATTGGTCTTGGGATTGAGCATTTTAAAGCAATACTTGGCCGACATCAATAGAGATTGGATCCATCACATTGACAAAATTGTGGACTTATTGACTTACCGAATTCCTGATTCAGTAATCAGTACGATCACACAACCTATCACCGAGGAGATAAAGAGTTCATTCTTTGGCCTGAAAGGTAACAAATCACCTGGTCCAGACGGTTTCACGGCTGATTTCTTCTGGCATACTTGGGGACTTATTGGTGCTGAATGTACGGCTGCGATTCAGGATTTTTTCTGCACTGGTCTCCTTTTTAGGGGGATTAATTCGACAGCACTTGTGCTAATAGCAAAGAAACCAGGGGCTGATTCCTTCGGTGATTTCAGACCAATATCATGCTGCAATACTATTTACAAGGTGATATTGAAGATTCTGGTGGCGAAACTCAAACCAATCTTACCTGATCTCATTTCCAAAAATCAGTCAGCATTTATTCAAAGGAGACTCATGGTGGAAAATAGTTTGCTAGCGGCCGAGATTATACATGGTTACGGTTTTCCCCGCTCCCCTTGTGCGGCTACCATCAAGATAGACATTTCTAAGGCATTTGATTCTATCAGTTGGGACTTTATTCTGGCTACCTTGTGGGCTATCAACTTGCCGGATTCCATTGTCAACCTTATTGGTGAATGCATCACTACTCCCTCGTATTCTATCATTGGGATCTTTGCCAATCAAGTACCTAGGTTTGCCACTTAAACCCACGAAGTTGAGTCCAACAGACTATAGACCATTGATGGATAAAGTTAGAGCTAAAATGTCTCATTGGTCTTCAAAGCATCTCTCTTTCGCGGGGCGTCTTCAATTACTATCAGCTGTTATTTCGGGGATAATCAACTTTTGGATGAGTGTCTTTATTTTGCCAAATGGTTGTATTTAATAGTTGAACTCACTTTGCACTGCTTACTTATGGAAAGGAGACCCTGACAAGCACTCTAGGACCAAGGTGGCTTGGAGTCAAGTAACTAAACCTAAGAAAGAAGGAGGATTAGGACTTAAAGACCTGATTTCATGGAACAACACCATTGGATTGAAACTGATATGGTTGATCTTAACATGTTCTGGCTCTTTATGGGTGGCCTGGATCCATCGACACTACATTGACAACCGATGCATATGGGCCATCAAACCACTCGCCAGATATTCTTGGTATTTTCACAGACTACTTAAACTTAGGTACTTAGCTAAAGACTTCTCCCGTTATAAGCTTGGCAATGGCACAAACGTGTTTTTCTGGTTGGATTATTGGACTCCATTTGGTAGATTAATTGAAGTGTTGGGATAAAACGGACATGCGGACTAGGAATTCCGAAATTCACACGTGTTTCAACTATATACAGGAATAATCGTTGGTTGCTACCCAATCCCAGATCTGATGCTCAACTGAGATTAGTAACCTACATAGTTGACACTGTCCTTACCCCGGGAATAGCTGATGTACACCAATGGGTTGTACAAGACTCGCCTATGTCGAAGTTCTACTCTAAAACTGTCTGGAACCAGGTTAGGGATGTGACGTTGAGCGCACCTTGGACTTCTCTGGTCTGGTACAAGCGACACGTCCTAAAGTATGCATTTACAACATGGTTGTTTGTTTTGAACAAGAATCCCACGAAAGATCGGTTGGTGGCTTGGGGGATTTTGGTGATTTTTTTTTCTGTAATAAAATAACTATTCCTACGCTATGATCAACTTTTGCCAAATCCAATCTGGTCTCGCCGAACTGAATCTTTACATAATTTGCGAACTGAAAAGCCGCAACTCTTAAGGATTCAGAAAGATTAAGATTATTGCAATTCTGATTATACAATACATCAACGACAAGAGTTCATATATCATATATTTTCACATATCGATGGTTAAATATGATGGAATTTTATCATTTTCAGAGCATTTTTTGGTACCGTTTCTTCTTGTCATCGGGTTTAATCAAGGCGGCGGAGGAGATACATAACTTGGACATCCTTGGTGAGAGGGATGACCCATTCGCCATAGATACGAGAGACAACCGATGGGTCGACCTTGTACTTCTTGCCGCTGTTTTGATCGGTCTCAGACAGGTTTACTTCTTGTCCGAACGTCTCAGCTTTCTTCTGCACCCTCTGCTTCACCGTCTCTTCCACTTTCTCAAACGTTAGTAGCTTCATCAGTGCCTCTTTGTCCTGCAAAGATCCAGAAACATAAGAAGCGTTGGATTTCGGTTGATTGATATGAAACATAACCCATATCTGGATATTTTTAAAAAACTTGCAATAATCAAATCAAATCGAATTTTTTGGATTAGATCAAACATGAATCTTTGCAAGGGTTGAGCCTCTTTCCACAGCATTTTTCCATCAAGAACTCAACACAAATACACGGCCAAAGGAAAAAGGCTTCGTTATTCTTGGTTGGTAACTAAGACTTGCGGAGATATCTGGAGCTATACCCGTTTCAAAATGAAGTTCGACGTATTAGGTTAGAAAGCAAAAGACTAAGGGGTAGATGTGATAAGAGCTTCACAGCTTATGTAATGAATGAACCAATTTGTCAATTTAGTTACCTGAGCGCGGATTGCGGGCTCGTAATCTTGTGGGGCGTCTCTGAATTTGACCTCAGCAACGAATTTACCGTAGTGAATCCTCCTAGAAAGTGCCTGCAGAAGATTAAACGTCAAAGACTATCTATCGAGATTCGAGACCGATTTCGTTCATCTTAATACGTCTAAACCTGATCATGAATCCAAAGATCTCTTACTTGTAAACATGCGAGATCACTTGCAGCAGTCGATGCATAGTTGCCATCATCACCAGCAGTGGCAACCATTGGAAGCAATTCTTTAAAGTACAGATCCCATATACGATTGTTTATGTTAATGGACGAACCCGAAGGGTGCAGAACCTAAATTTTAAGTTATTACAAGCATTGCAGATTAGAATGTAAGAAAAATCTCGAGAGGTAAGAGAAAAAACTTCGACGCGCTACCGACCTGTGGATAGTTGTGCTTCGGGCAAACAGGAAAAGGAATTTTCTCCGGGAAGAAGGGATTTTCTTCCGGGTTTTCGTATCTCCCTACCTGAGAAACATAACTGCACAGTTCATAAGACTTTCAAGTGAAACCATAAGCATGTAGCCTTTATTCAAGAAATATGCCCCATCTCCAGCAGACACTGCCATAAACAAATCACAAAATAGACATTCATTTCCCCAGGAAGACAGTCCCGAAAGAGACAAAACGTTTAACAAAGATCCAACTCTTCAAAAAGATTTAATCTAAGAAAGTAACGGTTGAACGAATTGATTTGCAACATTCACAGACAAAATCTAGACAAAAAGCAACTGTGCAATAACAGATCGAGACAAACTATACTCGAGCCTGCCCAACTCCACGTTTTTTCCATGAGATTATGATGCAGAAACGCCAAGTTAAAGCGACAAAATCTTTAAGAGACATTAACTCCTTAGCGATGAACACGCGAAACAAGATCAGTTGTTCCAATTTCATGAGATATTTATCTCAGGCAGTTGATTAGAGGTGGGCATAAAAACCCGGGTCAGATCAATTCAAATGGTTTGGAAAACAAGGAACGCGGTTAAAAAGAACCCAGAAAAACAAGTGGTACTGATGAATTTCAGGAAGAAAAAATCAGAAATTTGTGCTGAAAAACTTCAGATCATTTTCATAAGATGATATAGTACCAGAAAGCTTTGTAGTAAGCTTATGTCGTTGTATCTAATCTTAGAGAGGATCAATTGAATTGATTTGCTAATAATCTTTCAAAGAATAACGGGAAACTCACGAAAACCGGAAGGAAATTCAGAAAGAAAAAAAAGAACATGAACAACGAACGATGCAACCGAAAAATACCTTAGCCTGGATAATCTCGGTCTCTCTGACCAGAAACTCAGTCATAGAACCGGGAAACCCAGAATCTGAACACCGAGATTCCTCGTACGCAGGGGAATTGAGGGGAAATTTAGCTCTCTCGATCAAGCTGAAGACGATGGTGTCTTCCTGCCTAATCAGCGAGTCCCTGATCGAGTCAAGACTCAGTGCACCCGAACCGGTCTCAGCGACTCGCGCCATTCCGTTTTCACAGCTTCTCAGGCAAAACGCCGAAGACAAAATCATCGTCACCGAAGCCGGAAACAAAGTAAACATCACGAAACGAAGGACGGACATTGTGATCGGGGAGAATTCGAGAGCTTACCTAGGGTGGATTCTTTGTTCTTCTTCTCCGTCTTCTACTTCTTCCTGTTGCACCTTTTTCTCGCTTTTGGAAATTCTGTAATGGAGACAACGTGTGTTCTCCTTTCTTTTCCTTAACGATCACTGGTTGGTGGATTCGCCTTTGAGAAATTCCCCTTTTGTTTATTTTTTTCCAAAAATAAAATTTAAAAATAAATGTTTTTTTTGCAGCAAAAATCAAACGCAACGACAAAAAAAAGGACGAAATTGGGCTGATGTGGGCCCATCTTGATGGCGACAAGTCTAGGGTGCGTACACATTGAAGTCAATAAGGCTAATAATTACGTTTTAGTTCCTATTTCTCTGGTCGAATTTAATTTGAATTAAGTTTTTGTTAAAATATTTTTATTATTTTGCTCGTTATTTTTATGTTTAAAATTTGACTTAAAAAATCTGTATCTAACTAATTTTTAAATTAAATTTATTTAAAATAAGATTACGCAATTGTAAATTTATTTAGAAAAATAACGTGTTATTCGATTTTCTATTATATATATACAAATAAAAGCTATTATTATCAATAATCAGTAAAATATTATTTATTAAATGTGAGTATACATCAGGTATTCAATTTCGTACAAGCAAGTCGAAATGTTACTATTACTAATAGTCAACAAAATATTATTTCTTCAAAATAATATAAAATTCTGCTGACAAAAGAATTATATAAATATAAATCTGGGGATGTCCTTTCGTTATTTACAAACTCGCTCCATTTTTAAGGTGTCGGGCTATTCTTGGTTCGCTAGCAGTTATTGTTATAGAAGAATCTTTTTATTTTATTTTTCTCTGTATCTTAATAGCGGATGGAATTTTGGTATTAACAATAATTTACGATCACCATCCCAATCGATTAATCATTACAAGAAGCCATGAAATCAATGTAAAATTCAGAATTATATGAATCGACGTCACAGTTTTAAAAAAAATTGTATTATTAGAATAATTTACGACCGTATGAATATACAGCGGTCGGTATTATTAAAAAAATTCTAGTCTATTCAAATGAGTAGAAAAAAAAGGTTAGAACCTAAAATTGATTTCGGTTACAAATGAAAATCCAAAATTTAGAGAGAAGTTTTTAGATATTAGGAGGAGGCACCTATCTTTATGAAAAGGGATGAACATTTCAGTTTTCGTTTTTTTTTTCCAAAATTTGATTTATTGGGTTTTAAACAAATTGTATCCATACTATTTTTATATTAGATACGATTTGATTCGATTCGATTTTTATTTGTATAAATACGGATTCGGTTTTTTAATTGATAATATTTTAATTTTTTTAAAGAAATTTCCATTCTTTTATTTTTACATTTAATTCAATCCATTTTTTTCATTTTAAAAAAGCACAATAATTAATTTTTACATCGAAATGTCCACTGCTATCTAGATTGATATCTCCTTGTTTGATACGCACACACCCCATGAAGGGATTTCTTAATGAAATCTAACGTTCTGCCGGTTTTAGGGAAACAAAACCACGCGCATTTCGCATCTCAGAAAGGGAAAAGGAAGTTGTGGTTTTTTCCCGTGAACGAAATGACAGGCCCATATTTGAATATTGTTGAGCGTTAAGACCCAATTAAGAATCACGTTTAGGGCACATCAATTTAGGACCCAAATCCCAATGTGGGAATTCTTCTTCTGGCCTTGTTGTCGTAGCCCCTGAAAAATCCCAGCAATGGCGAAAGTGGTCTGAGCAAGGGAAATGGCGGGAGCGATAAGGGTGAAGCAGCTGTTTCTGTGTCCATCGATTCTTGCGAATGAGACGACTTTGCTTCGTTGTCGTGGTAATGTGAATGTAATTGCGAGAGATATCAGCTCGAGCGAGAGCACGAAGAGGAAGAAGAAAAAGGAGATCGAGCTTGGAAGAGCAGCGGCAGAAGCAGTGGTGAAGAAGGAGAAGAGGAGGACACGTTCGAGCAGAGAGTACGAGCTCGCAGGCGACGGGGAGTCTCCGTCTTCGCATGTGCCGGTGATGCTCGGCGAGGTTGTCGATGTTTTGTCTTCCATTCGCTTGCGCAGTTTCGTTGATTGCACCCTCGGCGCTGCTGGTCATTCTTACGCTGTAAGCTTGTCGACTATGAAGCCACTTTACTCCGAAACTTTCTTAATGTTGGATTCCATAATATTAAGCTAGAAAACTTGCTGAATTCTCTTGTTCCTGACATCGTTTTGAGTTATATGGATTAGCTGAACTTTCATAGATTCTTAGTTTGATGAAATTAACCTGTATTTGCTTCTGGTTGTTAATTCGCCAGCTCAGGTACTCTGCCAATGACCTGAATGATCAAAATTCAACCAAATTTTTTCGTTTGAGGCGGTGTTTGTTCGTGGTTTGCACTCTTGAACCTATTGGGTCTTGAGCAATTCAATCCACGAATGGTCACTTCTGAATCTCTAGAAAGTTGTTTTGCGAGCCTACTGTCATAATAGGCTGATGGATTGCATGGGTTAGGTTTTTATCTAATATCAATGGCAGAACAAGTTTTTGTTGTGCAGGGGATGAACTGTTTCTCGTTTGATTTGTACTTTGTCTCTCAGATTATTGAGAACCATCCTGAACTGAGGCATTTCATTGGAATGGATGTTGATCCTGTGGCACACAAGCTGGCGCATGTTCATCTTCATTCTGTCCTGCATCCATCTCTGAAGTCTTCTATTGTTAGGAAGAACTTCAAGTGCATCAGATCTGTTATTGCAGATACAGATCCTGAGATGTTAGACATCGGGGTTGATGGCATTCTTATGGACCTAGGGATGTCATCTATGCAGGTATGTTGATCTCGAATGTGACTGTTGCTTTGCAGTGTTAGCGTCTCTCACCAGGCATGAGAAAGCTTTATCTGGCAGGTGAACAATCCAGAAAGAGGGTTTAGCGTTCTTGAGGAGGGACCACTGGATATGCGTATGGATCCACAGGTTAGATAGCCTTTTCTGTTAGTTATATAATAAGAAGTGAATGAAACTTGATCTGACTAACTGAGCTGTGAGGAACTTAGTCTGGAACATATGCTAGTAAGAGTATAGAGGACAAAGGTCTTAAGGTCCATTTAATGAATTGATCGAATAGGGGTTTGTCCTATGCCATTTTATGATATTTTTTTTTTTTTTTTTTTTTTTTGCAAATATACAAATTAAATCCCCTTGTAGCCATTTTATGACATGCTTCTCATGCAACTGTTTAAGTATGAAATTTGTTGGTAGCTTATGTACTCGATTATAGCCCTGTTCCTAGGAGTGAGTTCTTTGCAAATGATCTGGGCCTACTATAGACGGGGTTCTTATCATTTGCTAGCCAGATGCCTATGCTGAAAGGGAAGAACCTGGAAAAGAGGCTGCTGAAGACATTAGAGTTGAAACCGTAGTGATGTGTTAAAATACTACATTAACGAACTGTGATATTGGTTATTGAGATGTAAGCATGTGGTTCTGTTTCCCTACAAGCTGGATTTGAAGATTTTATTCTACCTGCTGATTTGTGGCATATATTTCAGCCCTTACGTTTTATATATCTTATGGTTTATCCTATACCAACGCAAGAGCTGCAATGTAAACAGGACTCGCAAGTAAAGCTTCCTTGTTTCTGCCTCTGAATCGCTTAGAATGACTGCAAAAGTTCCCCAAACCTATTTGCTGTTGATATGTGACAGGCAAGTCTGAAAGCAGAAGACATAGTGAATTCATGGCCAGAATCTGAACTGGGTAGAGTCCTTCGGGATTATAGCGAAGAAAGCAACTGGTATTCACTCCAGAATAAGATTATCAAGGCTCGACTAAGTGGCGGACTACATTCCACCGGTGAACTGGTTGATCTTATTCGAAGTATGTCACCTGGTAACAGAGGTATGTTCATCCTCCCATCGTATTGTTATCCTGGACGTGATTTTTATGCATAATACCGGTGGATTACCCAGTCACTAGTAAAAGTCAAATCTGTCACTTTATTCAGTTCTATTTATGCAAACTCCATGCTGTTTCTGGTTAAGGCTATGTTAGATGGGTTCCTTTTGTAAAGAGAACAGATGATTAAACCTTTGCCGTAAAAATAAAATCATGAAGAGATTAAAACACAGCTGTGAAAGCTGGAATTTTCTGATTTTCAGTTAGGTGCATTTACTGAATTACGTTTTTTTTCCGAACATAGATGAATACTTTAGTTTAAGGTTATGTGTTGATAAATCGAAGGATGATATCGATCTAACCCATTTTAACCCGGGTTTAATTTTTTTTATGCATCTTTTTTCTTTTTTATCCTTCAAATGATTCAGGAGGCAGGCAAGGTTGGATCAAGACAGCGACAAGAGTGTTCCAAGGGCTAAGAATAGCGGTGAACGATGAGCTGAAGACCCTACAACAATCTATCTATGCATCTTTCGAGGTTCTTGCACCGGGGGGTCGACTTGCAGTCATCTCTTTTCATAGTTTGGAGGATCGAATCGTGAAACAAACATTTCTCGACATTCTCGGCTTTCAACGAGAGGAAAAGAACCCGGAAGAACCCAGAAAACATGTCGAAGAAGAGTTATCCGATAAGGATTTTGGAGCAAACGAGTCGTGGATTAAACAAACGGTAAGAAGCTCGAACGGGATTATCCTAACCAAGAGACCGATAACGCCTTCGGAAGAAGAAGAGAGACAGAATAGGCGGTCTCGGAGCGCTAAGCTAAGAGTGATTCAGAAGTCATGATTGGTTTTCAGGTGAAAATTTCTTTTGAAGATCTCCAAACGAGAGAGAGATCAGACTGTATTTTGTATAAGAGCTACTATTGATTTCAAATTCTGAAGTAAAACGCTTCATATCTTGATGATGCTCTCCTTTTGGTTTGCATCTCGATCTCATGCCAATGGCCCTTTGTCCATTCGCGTAGGAAATATCGAAAATACCCTTTTGACCACTCCCGGTGGAATGCTTCGGATTTTGGTATGCAAATTCAATTCCATTATCTTGATTTTGGCTATGCAATGATATCGTACTCGGCTTTTATATTGGTTTTTGTTTTGTATCAGATTCGGAAAGCTGCATTATTTTGTAAAGGAATTCCATCTCGATTTGGTTTTATCATTGGCAGTGTCAGCAGATGGCAGATGTAATGGCATTGGGAGATGAAAATGGCAACCTCTAATGGGCCTTTTGACTTGTGTGAGCCCTAGGTTTCAGGTAAGAGAAGGAACAGAAACAATCATTGTCCTCTGGTCCTTCCGCGTCGATCAACTCACCGGCCAGAAGAAAAGTGACCCAGAAAGCGGATTTCAATTTGGACTTCGACTTAAATGAAGTTACAATACACAAAATTCTTGGAGCCATGCATTTGGCATTGCGGAAACATATATGTTCACCAACAAAGTGGCATAACCACTCTCACTCCGACAGAATCTAGGGTCCGATCGGAGTGTTTTCCTGCACTTCAACGAGTCCGGAATCTTCGAATCATCTCCTTCTCGATCAAAACTCTTCCGGAGGGACCACTGGATATGCGTATGGATCCACAGGTTAGATAGCCTTTTCTGTTAGTTATATAATAAGAAGTGTCTTCCGATAATCTTTATTAAAAGCGAAGAACACCTCCCCCTCTTGAAGAGGTTCCATCCAGTTTCACCACACACGCACGCAATCTCGGGGTGGTCCTTCTTGTTTTGGTGTTTGGACTGCCTGAACATTTTTGGACCACCCCCGAGATTCCGATTGCAAGAGAGACTAATATATTCCAATACCATAACCGGTTAGCTTTTCCAATTCAAAGCCGAGATTTGTTCTATAAGCTCCAACCGTAACATATATATAGTAAAAAGATTAGCATTGAACAGGAAGGATTTCTAACCTTTTTGAAGAAACTTCTTACCCCGGTGCATAAGAAACCATGTGTAGTAATCCATCATCTGAATTTCCATTAAACGTCGTCACACCTGAAACGAAGAACCAAATGTGCAGAAGTATTTAGCCTCATGCAATTCAACCACATTCTCTTGTACCGCTAAAGGGTGCAACAAATGTTTCGTATAGATCGATCTGCCTTCGAATTTCAGCCACATCTGACAAGAACAAAACATGGCATAATGAATATCAACAGCTTTTCCATATATTGTGTATGGATCGATGAGATGTTAGAGTAAGATCGAACCGACCATAACTTCATCAGTTACTAACAGACAATACATGTACAAATCCATGTGGATCACATTATATTATAATAAACACAAATCTACGTGCATATATGGCTCTCCCAACAAATTAGTATGGGTGTTATGTACATCTCCTGTATCTTTTGGTAGTGTTCTATGTTATATTGTAACCAATATATATATATTGATTTATTATAATAATCAGATTGCATCAAAAACTAATTAAGGAAAACAAAAAATAGACAAACTAAGAGCCTAAAGGGCATATACTAAGATACATGTACATATATATACACACTACAACACTACAAGCCAAATCAATATATTATATGCAATAAAATGCCTTAATTACTGCCTTTTGACAGAGGGCATATCATGTCAAAACTATTTAACCAACTAAAGTAACATTTATATATATCATGCGTTCCGACTATGCCTTTGACAAAAGACATACTTTTTGTCCTATATGCTATCTAACATCTAAAAGTGTATATGTATATACTCAAGAACAGGAATTGATAATTAAGTTATAAATGGACTCAAACCAAATATATAAACCTATAATCTTTCACACATATATATTGGATATCAACTTGCATTATGCATGTTATCAGAAGCATGTCATCATCAAGCATACACTGATATTCAATAACTGAATTGGATCTAACTTACCCTTTCAATTTGATACGAAAAAGAACGAAGAAGATGACAGTGATGCCGATGTTGATGGTGATGTGGTGATGATGATGATGATGTGGAATCATGGTTCAAAAGAAACATGCATATCAATACGAGAAGCTAGACTTGTGTATACGCCTTATGTATATAATCAATTGGGTGTACGTACATATATATCAGTATGAAAAATGCGCACCCAAGGATGATGCAAGGGACCATGACATATATAGTTTACACTCTATTGGCATCGATCTCTAATCACACGTCTATTTAACTAGCTAATTATATCACCCTAGTAAGTTAAGTAATACACTAAACATATGGCAAATATACATATTCTTGCCTACATGTCTATATATATGAACATATATCATTAACACTGACAAGAATGAAGAACACTAAACCGATGAAATCACACTTCATCAAAGTCACAAACTCCAAATATCAACGAATAAATCGGCAGATTTTATCAATCATAAAAGTCAAACTTACACAATATCATGTATATATGTGTACTTTTTCTCATATATGACAAATCCTTTTATGTCTATGTGCAAGTCCACATATACGGCATGCGTACTATACGTATGAAACACAAAATCTAGCATCTTCAACGAGGAAAATTCTCGATGAACTTCACAAGTCAACTATAATAACAATAATATATAGATAAAAAAAACATATGATTATACACATATATACATAATTTTGGTAGATACAAAACACAATATGAGTAGTATCGATGATGAAAATCCATGGGGGAGAAGATGTGACAGAAAGAGAAGCGAGCACGCAAAAGCAACAGTATACAGATTATACAACTTCCCTCTGTGTGCTCGCTCTCTTCTGTCAACTTCTTTGTCCCCCTGAATACACATACATATATATAATATATGTGTGTATATATATGTAAACATAAATTAACAACTAGAATATGTATGGATGTGCAGATACTATGGCCACAAAACTGGACAGGAAAAAAATACCCACGACCAAGTCAAACGAGATCTGAAAAACTTCAACCGGCCATGAAAAGTTTGGAAATACATAAAACCTCATACATGTATATATATATATATATATATCCAGATGTGAATGTGTATGTACGAGAACGCCTGCCGTACATGTGTGTGTAACATGAAATTCTGGTCCAGAACACGAATATAAAACATAAAACCAGTACTATAAGACACAAGAACAGGAAAAAAACGTACTGGAAATCAGATCTGAGAAAACAAGCAACCGTCTATTAAAGGAAAGTAGCTTGTAAAACCCTATTTTTAAAAGTACGGAGATCAAGAGAAAATGCAAAGCAAATTAGGGTTTTTGTTTTTCATTTCAGATCTCGAATAAAAAGGTCAAAAACGAAAACCCAGAAACAAGAAGATGGAGATAAACTCGGAATTGGAACAGGAAAAAGAGAAAAGGCTCGATTTTTCTTCATCTTCTTCTCCCCGATTCGGGTTTTCTCTCTCTATCATGCAAAGCAAACAGGTGTCGGCTGAGTCCCCTCTCACTCTAGAAAAAAAAAAAGAATTCGAGGCGATTTATGAAAAAGAAATAAACCCATGGAAATGAAAGCCAAAAATCGACAATCTCCTAATTAGAAATAGAATGTGAAGTGTCGGGGAAAAACCAAAGGAAGAAAAACTGGAGAAGAAAAAACAAGAAAGCCGAGAGAGAGAGAGGTGCTTGGCTACGTAAGCGAAACATGTGGCTGAGATTTGTCAGAGAGGGTAACGTGTCACAATCAGAAGCCATTTACTGTCTGATGGAGTTCTGGTCGTCGATTTGACTTGGAATGAATTCTCAGCCGTCAGATATGTCATGATCAGTTCCATCTCCTTTGTTATGGCTAACTCATCTCCCAACTACAAGTCGTTGCATCATTAAGGAGACAATCTCTCTTTATTCATTTTTTTTTAATTTCCTTATCCTTTTAATATTTTTTATATTATCTGTTTTTGTACCTTTAATTTTGCCTTTGATTGATCTGATTGCATATATGTATGTACATAAAGTCCATGAAATAATATCTTTAGTTGAACAATCAAGGAGACCAACATACAATATATTTATATATCCGCCTGCGCATATATATATATATATATATATATCATGTTGTCTTATTTTGTGTATATAACTAAGATAAGGAGTATGCAAAAATACAATTTCGACAAACACATACATATCTATATATATATCCGTATAAGGAATAGCATTATAAAACTATGGCGCTAAATTTGGATTATACAAATTCAAATTTTTTTAAGAAAAGTCAATCATTTATTACGACAAAATTTTATTGGATTTTTTCGGAAAATATGTGTATGTACTTTATATATATAATTTTAATTAGATTGACTAAACTCTGGAATGAAACTGAAGTGCATGCAAGTGGCGGGGACCCTCGCTCGCTCCTATCCTTTCAACCTCGTCTGCATAATAATATCAAATTAATTAATTGTCCTTTTAAATATATTTTTTATTCTCCAATTAAATGTCATTTTGTCTTTTATAATTTTGTTTAATTTAAAGATTTGGTCTCTTTTTTTTGTACACATAATTTGTCTACTTTCAGAATCATTTCAAATTACTTACTATTTGAATTTCTAATAGATATCAAGATATACTTATACGTACATATACGATATTTAATAATTTATATATCATTTTGGTTTCGCAATTGAGCTTCATCGTATATGTTAAGAGGAAGGATAATGAAATTGAGATATATTCCTTGTAAGGAAATGTATATTTTCATTACTGAATGAATATGAGGTCCAATGCAATACATTCCATACTATATATATACATATATATATATATATATATATATATATAATTTGAGAAACATTTCCTCATTCTCTGGGTTTTTAATTTCTCTCTCAAATTCAATTTGCAAAATCATATCGGAGTTCAACAAACTCCGTCTGCCATTGGTTTGATTTTTTTCTTCTTCCCCCCTTTCATTTTTTGTTGATCCTGGATCCTCTATAGAAAATGGAACAGAGTTTACTGAATAATGCTCTGTATATTATTACATACATATATATTTTATGGGTTGACTTATTTACAGGGATATGTATGTATCTAC